CGTATCACCAGCGCTACTTTCACGATGAACGCTGCACGATGTACTTGCAAAGATCTCGAACACACCTAACTCCTAGAAAACAATGGTCTGAAGTCAGTCTGCAGTCGCTGTCCAATTAAAATTCACCGCGTTTGCCTCCCAAAATTTTGCATTAGCATACCCCATTTTTTTCGTTTAGCGTCGAATGCGTTTCCTGATATTGGGTAGGTCGGTCGGATTGAAAAAAAAAAAAAAACTAAAAAAAATCACAAGAAGTCTCGGAATAGGAGGCCCTGGTTCCCCATGACGACGTTAAAAGTTAAAATTCACATATTTGGATCAACAAAATGCACAATATACCGTAAAAAATGTTCATGTTTTTGTTCCTGTTTTTCTCTACGTTGTTACTATGCTCATTTTTCAGATTTAAAGAGCTATTTCAAGTGAAAATGCCAAAAATTTGGGTCGGTCGGACGCGCTAAACCGAGAAAAACAAGAGGATGGCCTAAAAAGCCGAATAGGCGGAAGCAAATAGAGCCAGGAAATGGAGTGGAAACCATCTTTGATACCAGATTCAGGCTTTCGCGGCCGTTTTTCGTTAAATGGCGCTGATTTGTGCTAATGGAATGAAATTTACCAGTCCTGAATTTGCCTTTCCATTTGCCCGAACCGCAGAGAACCGGCCGGTTTGCCCATAGTTATGCAAATATTTTGGGGGGGTAAACTAAAGTGTGAAAGTGTTGAAAGGGTTTTCCTTTATATTTATGTTAATATTAAGGACCGATCGGCTCCTGTTTATGCTAAATTTTTTTGTTTAAGTATTTTTTTTTGGCCGTGTGCGTTATTGCGTAACTTTTATTGTTGCAGTTGCTACTTTATTGTTCGTTATAAAACTAATTAGGTAAAATATTCATTGTAAGCCGTTCTATTGTTTGGAAGCCGTTAATTACTAGATCGGACCTTTTACAATAGTCCCTTTTTGCCACATCTTGCATTTGCATGGGATTTGGAAGTTTTAGGTATTATTAAGGAGCCGCGTCGCTAAAAAGTCAGTGCGGAGGGCGCGTTCAGAGAGACTGTAAGAGAGAGACCTTGAAGCACAAGCCGTTCTACTGAAATCCCTTCAGCAGAGGCGTCCCTTTTAATTTCACGGCTAAAGAAGTCATTTTGTCTGGTGGAAAGCAGTTTGATGTGCTGTAAAAGTTAAGAGAGCAGGAGAAGTATCGTGGAGACCTTAACATCTCTCCAAGAAGTCAGTGCGTTACATAACATCTCTCCAAGAACGGTTCGGAAAACCAAACTGAACTAGAGAGCAGCGGCAGACCGGGAGACCGAAGCCGGAGCAAGTCTGTGAAAGATATAAGAGAAAGGCGGCTACTGGATTTTGGAGGTTTTCGGATCGAGTAAAAGTGGTGTTGTGTTCGGAACGGCGTTTGTGGGGGCGGGGAGGGATGAAAAACGAGCTCCCCTAAAAACGCCTGCGTGGGAGGCTAGTAGCCACGCCCACTGAAAACTATTTTGATTAGAAAGACAACTTTAGAGGATTTTGGGGGGAAGTTAAATTAAGTAGTAGGCTGCGTGCCAGGAGCCAAATAAGGGAGGGTGGAACAAAAGCATGATCCCTTCTTTCATTCCTCTCCTCCTCCCCCCCACTCCCACACACACCCCCACTCGCCATTCAACGCCTGCCACGGTGGGTGAAGATGTGCAAATTAAAGACCAACATATGGTGGTTTCATAATGAGACCCAATAAGGCGAAACAGCTGTCCATGGCTGCCACTGCCCGGGTGACATGGCTGTGCGCATGTGTTAGGCACTGGCCAGGCCGTGGTTTCGTGTATGTGTGCCCCTTGCCTTAATAAGTTTGTCATAATTGGCTGGCTGATCATGTTATAATTTTCCATATCAAATTTTTATCTGCTTAAGCCTCCCGATTGATGCACTCAATTAACATAATGGTTTTGTCCCTTAACGCGTGGTTCATTAATTTGACCTGTTACCATCCCCCTGGGCAGCCCCTGTGACAAGTTCAGCTTTTCGGGCTCAGGGGTGGGGAATTGTTTGAAGCAGCCCCGTGTTGGGGTAAGAGGGTGAGGCTAGTCAAAAGCAACTTCTCTTTGATTTTGCGAAGTACGTGTCATTTCTTGCGCGGCTTGCATGATGGCTGCGGACCTCAAGACTACATACTTGTTACTTGTTTAATAAGAAGACAACATAAACAGACTGTACAAAGACGGATACTAGACTTTTAATATATATAGATAAACAGAGATTCAGTCCAGTGTTCTTATGAAGTGTTCTGTCATGTCAAAGAGGCCCTTTGGGGTTTTTTCTTTGCCATTTTTCGTTTTCAAATTTATTGTTCATGTTTTATCCACATTATACACTTATTATCCTTCTCTAGATAGAAAACGTTAAAAAAAGTTATGAAAATGTCTCGTTTTGCTATTGTACGGAAACCAATATTGATCTCAAAAAGATGTACCCAAAAAATATGCATATGAGATCGATCAGGAGCTCAAGGGTGGGGAATTGTCTCTTTCTGAGTGCCCGGGGATTGGAAAATAGACCACCAAGAAAGAAAAAATTTGCACATCCCCGGGGGTATGCCCTGGGGGGGATGGTAAGAGGTCAAATTGAATCATGCATAAACATCTCTCTTTCGTGCTTTTCTCCCTCCCCTCTTCCCCTCCCCTGTTTGCGCCTGCCACGCAGACTAGTCGCCTACTTTCTCTTTTCCTCTGTCTTTCTCTTTTTCCATGTTTCAAATTTGTGGACATGACAATTAATCTAAGCTTAATAGTTTAGACAACACGAATACAGAAATAATTTCCACTTTCCGTTTTCGTTTTGATTGACTCTTTAGTTGTCTCTGCTTCACAAGACGATGGTGGCTATGCGATTTCCCGCCAAAATAGCGTCGAGTTGTAATGTGTAGTCACAGAAAATAACCTTCCTCCCTTCCATTGAGGGCAACGGAAATTCCTAAGGGATGGGGGGGGGAGGTCAAAAAGGAGGCAAACGGTTACATTCCCTCATAAATATACAAGTGAATTTTTTACATCTTATTGCAATAACATCGTTTTAATAAAATCACTAGAAAAAAAAATGAGAAGAAAACGAGGAAATTCAAACAGGAAACTAATAAATTTTGTTATTTACAGCATAAAAGGCGTCTTTCAGGGAAAAAAGCAACTAGAAGTAGGTTTAAGTCAATTTTCACACTATTTATTCTTGTTCACAGATTTGCACCTTAAATCTGTTCACATTACTTCCCCGTAAGACTTCGTCAAATCCAAAACATCTGTATGTAAATTTCCATTTTGACAAAGTTTAAGTGTCCATTGGAGATCGAAAGGACTAGCCGCTCGACCAAAGGCCTGTTCACAGGCTACGAAAGGATCAGCATCTTGATTTTGTGATTGGCGAAACTGGAAATATGAATGCGTAACGTGAAAGACTAGAGCAATTTTTTTCGAGGGAGAAATACATTACTTAATTTTTCCCGAATTCACGATCATTCTCCGGTAGACCAGACCAATTCTCGAGCATTTTCTGGGTGCATTTTGAAAACGTTTGCTGGTATTAACGGCGTGGCTGTAAGCGAGATGTTGGAAGGTCCAGCGTGCTTTCGTGAAAATCTCCATCCGACGTTCTGTATTTTCCAATAGCAAAGGTACATCGCAGATTGCCTGTTCTGCAGGTTGACAACAGATCCGAAAGTGCTGAATTAAAAATAGTGCAGAATGTACCTAGAGCTGCATTTGCATCACTGGTCCGTTCTGCGTTAGCAAGCAGGTTAACCTCTGGTTTTATGTTCTCCACAATGAGCTCGTCTAGACTTTCTAGAGAACTCTTGCAAACGAAAGTGAATTTTCGTTATACCGGCCTGGCTGCTATCTCGTCAGATCAACCCCTGTGACAACCCCTGTGACAAGTCCAGCTTTTCGGGCCCAGGGGTGGGGAATTGTTTGAAGCAGCCCTGTGCCGCGGTTAGAGGATGAGGCTAATCAAAAGCAACTCCTCTTTGATTTTGCCAGTTATAGACCCTGTCTAAATCACTTTGTCTTTTGGGCAAATATGTAATTTTTGCAATCCCAACTTAGTCAATTTTTATTTATGTATCTACCTTATCAATCCTTTTTAAAAAAGGTCATAGAAGCATTACATAACAAGACCAATATCCCCAAGAGACTTTTAATTGCATTGTTCCTGTCACAACTAATTGGTTGGTGTACGTGAGTTAGTCAATACTATTTGCATTCTTTACATTGGGTATTATATTCACTGCTTTACTCAAATATCATCAGAAGCTTGCAGGCTACACCTGAACGTTAATTATTGGTTGATAAAGAACAACACAAGAATAACACCATCAAATTTACGCGAGAATGAAAGAGGTCGGTGACGTAACATTAAGTGAGTGAGATCAATCATGCAAAACAGCGAGGCTGAGCATGGAGCCCTGTAGCCTGCGTAACAAGCGTTTCCAGTCGAGTTATAGCGCGAAAGTTGGAGCGGAAGCAATAAAAAATGGAAGGGGAGGGGAAGGGAGAAGAGGAAACCTTAGAGCGCTTTTGCGTTTTTGGCAAAACACCCCGGGGCCATACCCACGGGATTTGTACGTAATCTGCTGTCTCAACGTTCAGCGGTTTTCGCCACAGGACAAGCAAGCTCGGCTCGCTCGATCGACGTTCTTCTAGCCCTCGAGGTAAGTCATACCGTTATCATTCAAATTAGAGATAAATTATGAGCCATCCATTGTCGGAAGACAGAACAAAGGAATGAGGATAGAATTTGTATGAAAGCTATTAAGGACTGACACTTCAAAAACGTTTATCTTCTAACAAATTTTGCGAATTGCGAGAATGTAAACTCGTCAGCTTCAATAAGTTTATATAACGAGTTGCTCGATTTAATATTTTACAGGATTTGAATGTGTTTTTTCCCTGCAGATCATGGATTGGAAGGAGTTTTTTGTAAAAGCAGGGCTCGAAGAAGAGCTTTCGAAAGAATATGGGAAAAATTCTAAATTTCATTTTGTAACATATTGAAAAACAAATGGTACCATGCAAGAGTACTGCTGAAGAGGTTTCATTTGAATGGTCACACCATAAGATTTCATCCACAGACTCAAAAGTTAGAACTACACTACATGTCTCCATAATTTGACTCTGGGAGTGAAAGGGTTAATTCATCCTTAGAAGCATAGTTTGCAAAGTAGGCTGATTTAGATCAAATTAGGTTTCCAGCCTGACAGTGAATATGGTTATCTGTCCTCGATTTATGAATGGATTTTTTATATACACATGGGGCAGATCACTATTATTTCGTGTTTATAGTGTAATTTCTGAATCATCTAGAAGTAGTTCATAGTGTAATTGATTCTGGGGATTTTCATCCTTTGTGCGCTTTGCTTGGTGGTGCATTTAAAAACAGTATATGTTACAAATTTAGTTTTCTCTCTTGAAACAATGGCATTGTATTTTGTCACAAGTAACAAGCTAGAGAAATCCTTCGTTATTCTCATAATCTTTTTACAAGAGAAAAACCCTTTAAGTATAATCGTGACAGATTTTCCAGATACACTGTACTTGTTGTTCATATTTCAGATATTTTACATTTAAATTGTGTGTACGAATGAGTCTATAGAATTACGGTTACAACACTCATGTTTTTATTTAATGGTGAAGCAGCAATGATAATCTTGTCTCTCTTTATAATTTCAGACATTTAATAGACATTGCCAATGCCAATATTTTTATCATTATTATCATTATAAATCTTTCAGTATGATTATCAGTCTTTTGCCAGCCTGTGTAGTTTGATCTTTTTTCATATTTGATCAGAGATATTAAAGCTTCAAATGAAACATAGTGTAATTGTATTAGCCCTTTAGTCTTGTTTTGCTGATTCCTCTGAAATAGATAATTTGTCATGCCTGTCTCGACGTGAATGTTCTCCTTAAAGTGACTGTTTTCCCATTTTTCTTGTGCTGGAGTTATGCGTTTTTGCAAGTAAACGGGAATTTTTTTAAAAAAATTACTTATTATATGTTGCCCAGGTTGCTCCAGGGATGGGGGTATTTGTCCCAATTTTTTGCCCTACCCCAGGGGCTTTAGCACGTATTTGTCACTGCAGCTGTGACAAATGCCCCTGGGTGCCCGGGGGTCGCCCCCTCGGGATGGCCGCTGATACCCGCATAAGTGTGCCTGTTTGGGGATGTTCTTGAATTTCGCATTTCGTGCCCAAAAACAAGACACGCAAAAATATCTGCTCTTTCTGAGTACCCGGGAATGGGGAAGTAGACCACCAAGAAAGAAAAAATTTGCAAATCCCCGGGGGTATGCCCTTGGGGGGGGGCATGGTAAGAGGTCAAATTGAATCATGCATAAACATCAACAAAATTTCCTTCCAGAAAACTTTCACAATCACACTGATCACTTAATGGTTGAAACGACATGACTTACATCATAACGACAACTATTTCAAGCAGCTTCACAATCCCACCAAAATAAGCTAACTACTGTGGATTAAAACTAGAAAACATTAATTTGTTTTGGAAGCACAATTTGTGTCTTTATGCTGGAACTAAGAATGTCTTTTCTCTTCCTTGAAATTTCCTCGCTTTTTGTGGCTATTTAACATTGATGGTTTCTGGTGGTGCTTATAAACTGTAAAATATTTGTAACATCCACAAGAATGATGTCATTTCCTAGTTCATCTTTGCTCCTAGCTCAGATGAATACTCATAAAATTATATACCTCTCAATCAATGCCAGTAGTAGAACAATAATTTAGATTTAAGTAAGGATGAATAATCCCTCAAGATTCAATATATTGGTCCCTTCATATGAAATCATTAATCAGTTGCTTGTGCATGTAGCCCAGTGTAACATCAATGAGATTAGTTGCCTTGTAAACCATTGTATGTTTGTATCAAAGCCAAACTACCATTTGTCAGAGTATACACGACGATCGGCTTCTCCTTATCAAATGACCACAATCTGAATTGTATGGCAGAGAAAATAGCTATAGCAGACAAGAAGAAGGCAAGCACTGCTTGCCATGGGCGTGATCCGGCTTTTTGCTCTTGAAGAAACTGCATCAGTTTATCCCAGTATTGTTCCTGACGTGTTGTACGCTGTCGACTGACCTGGCGAACCAAACGATTCCAAAGATAATCCACATCAACATTGCCAAGGGAGATTATGGGAAAGAGAAGAAAACCTATTAAAAGAACAGTGTGTTCATACTGAAACAAAGCCAGAGGTTCAGTTTTAACGATCCAGATATGTAACTCTAGAAGAAGACAAACAGTGCAGAGAATGAGATTAAGTGCAATCCACCCAGAGGCAAATTCACGAAAAATGTGATGTGCATCAAAGGCTTCTGCCAAACGAGCTCTGCACAAGTCTGTATCTTCAATGTTGTGACGCAAAAACTTTGTGACTAATCGATTCTCTGACTCGTAACTACAACGTAAAAGGTAGACCAGGTAACAGAAGCCACCAAAGTTGATGTAGCCTTCAACGACAGAAAATGCGTGCAGAGGAACCAAGGAGTTAAGTCCTGATTGTGTTTCATTCCTAACCAACGGCGATACCAAAACTGGGTCAAAAAATGCTGCGGCTATCTTGAAACACTGGCTACAGATGATAGCAACACTGCCAAGGAAAAGAGCATATCCTGCAAACTGCTTCTCCTTCATGTCGACAAACCGCAACCTGTGCACGACAAATTCAATAGCCAGGGCGTTCGACCAGCTTCCCATGAACACAGTCGGCCATGTTGTGTGGATGACAGAGATTAGGCAGGTAAAGGGACCGATATACAGAAGGAGAAACATGCCAATCCACGCCATTACATGAACAATATCACAGCTGTCACTCTGGTATCTAGTAATCAGCAGTATAATGCTTGTCATTGTGATTCCCGTGATGAGAAGAAGCCAAATTAAAGACAAAAAGCCACTTCCACAGTGATTAAAGAATGACGATCCAATGCCGCGATCAGTAACCTCAGTGGGTACTCCTCTGTGATTCCACATTAAGCTATCACACACTTTGCAGGTGCCCTCAGTGTAGCGGTAGGTATTGCTCTTGTTTGCCTTTTTACATTTGGCACATATCTTTGGGCGTACAAGTCGACCTGAAATTTAAGCCAAATAGTGGTAAATGTTGTTGTGTTTGGTCACAGTAATCCTGCAGTTAAGGTAGAGGCGAGTCTCTCTACACCCACCTCTGTAAAACAGACATCTAGAGTTTGTCCCTGCCTTTCTTTAGTCCCTTTATTTGACTCTCTATAAGATGGACATCTCTCTAAGACATACACTTAGTGCTAGACCCAAGGAAGTCTGTATTAGAGTTGACTCTATACTCATAACCAGAGTTTTTGAGTAGCAATATAATTAAAGCAAGGAATATTTTTTTAGTGTTTCATTTTAGAATGCGCTGTTTGAAAGATTAATTGATGTCATCATTGGGCACAAGGGGAATGAAGTACAATTCAAGTGATGAATTTGATAAAGCAAATAATAATAATTTTCTAACAATTTTGTAACATTAAGGCTTATACTGCATGTAACACTCACTAAAGAAATTTCAACATGCTTTTTTCATTTAAGTTTTAGGGTATAACTTAAAGACTCCTTCTTTTATCTTTAACCCCGCGCCCCGTACTGCGGTATATATTACACTACTAGCTGCTATGTACCTGAATGGTAAAGTCCCAGTGTCTTTAAGTAGAACCACAGTAGAAATGGCCATTTGTGTGTTGCTTCACCTTCTCGTAAGTATGGCAGCTTCACAGAGACAGAGTCCAATCCAACATCCTGCACATTTAAGGTGTTCCCATAAGAAGCAAAATGAGTCATCTACAAAATTAAATAAAAGGCAAAATTAATGGAATGGCTTGCAGTACAAACCAATCAAAACAAGCCCCTGCTAGAGTACAATTCCAAGATCAAGCAAAAATAATCACCGCAGCCTTGAAACAGCAGCAACATCGGAAAAAAAATAAATGGTGACAATGACAATACAATATTAAAAACTCCTCAATTACCCTGCATAGTAAGCGTTCCCACTGGAGTTAATACGTGAAAGCTCATCACAGCTTTTGTGCATTAAAACAACCAGAAACGCTTACGCTTACTATGCAGGCTAGCGATGCTGGTCCTTGATTTGTGAAACAATGGGTTGAGATTGACTGGCAATGGAAACAATATTTCACTGAGCATGACAAGACCTGGGACAACAAGAAATATCAAGGAGGCCATCATTCACATCAGATCCCAGACTGTAATTCTATGAGCAAAAAAGAGCTAAAATGCTGAGGTCGCTTGCCAACACTTGAACATTTGCTTTATACAGGGAGCCACGGACTGAAAATGGGTATAGATTTTGCCCATTAAGTGGGGTATGGTTTTCAATGTAGTCACAAGAGTGTATAAAGGTATTTGTACCTGAAATGATTTTCAGTGTAACAACTACTACTACAAGAATCCTTAAAAAAATAAAAATGCCCGGTTCTCTAGGACAATGTAATGGGAAGATGCAAACAGAGTACAACTACTTTCAAATTAGCTCGGTCTGCAAACATGTGGGGATTTTAGAGGGGAGGTCTGAGAAAGGTGTGGAGAATGGCACATTGTGGTCTGAAATGGGACCAGAATTTAGAGAACTGGGTGAACTATCCTCCTCCCCCCACCCCACCCTTGGAACAATTAGTTGAAAACCTAGGTAGTAATTAACTTTTGTTTCTAGTTTAGATATTTTAATGTTATCTAAAGAAATTGAATGCCCTTTCAGTTGAACTCGATTGGATATAAACTTAGGTAGGTTTCATGAACTGTTTGTAAAGACTGTGAGATGAGCTCCAAATCACATTTGCAAATTAGGAGGTTAAAAAAAATTATAAGTATTTCTAGTCTCCTTTGACAGCTGTTAGCCTTGAAAATAATTTACCATGTCTAAATTTATAATAATAATATTCTAAGAGCTAAATTTATACCTCAATGAATAAGATGGAGAAGATATTTCCCAGACTTTATAGCCATTCCTTATAAGGAAAATATCTGAGTCTCTAATTTGTTGAGCAATGACACATTGTCATAAGAGCTAGTTTGAAGGTGCGGTGATTTAGAAATGGTGCAGCAAAAATCAGCGCAATTTAAAAAGTTGCCACTTTGAAAAACTAGAAGCTAGGGACATTTTGGAAGCTTCATTTTTAAATTACTTATTTTTAAGGTACGTGACATTTTGAACGTAGGGCAAGATGGATGACCTCTCTAAACATAGAATTTTGATTGTTAATTCGCATTTCACCTTAAACGGCCACTTTCTTTTGCTTCGCTCTATTTAGATTTGTCCGACATTTTTCGAGAATAAATTAAGACTTTTAAACTTTGTTCGTGTACGTCAGCGCCCAAGCCGATCCGCCGCCTTCTTACTGACCATAAAAGGTCTCGAAAACTCTAGAAACTTGTCGTGCAGTTCTTAGCTATTCGTGCACGAGCAATTACATTTCGACATAACCTTAATTTTTCACGGGTTTTGCCAAATTTCTTAAAAATAAATGATGGAACAAAGATAGCAACTCCGTAGTCTACTTATTGAAGTAATAATGCCCTGCAAATACGGGTCATTATACCTCGGGAACTTAGAGGTACGTGCCTTGCTGAAAGGCAGAATAAAACTTCTCAAACTCATTAATAATTCATTAAGAAAATACAAAGGAAATTAATGTTTAATGAGTGTTTGGAAATCGGATGAAACACTGCTTAGTATTTGCATCCTTAATTTCTCCTTCAAAAATGATTTTGTTTGAGAAGAAGTATCAAACATTCGACACAGTGTTTCATCACCAGATGAAACACCTCGAAGTTCGTCAAAAATACTCCGCTGCGCGTCGTATTTTCAACTCTCTTCTCGGTGTTTCATCTGGTGATGAAACACTGCATCTCATGTTTGATATATTACGACATATATTTTCTGTTTTTAGACCGTAATTGTTGGATATTTCATTTGAATTGCGACTATCTAACCCTTTTAAGAGGAAACTAAACGCTCGGAGGTTATTAAAAGTACATAACAGATTAATTTGAGGCTCAAATCTAACCTTTTCATTTTTGGATAGGAGACGTGCACATTCTCCAGAAGACATCGTCACCGAATAACTGCTGTCTGGGTTACTGAATCCTCTTCCATTCATCTTTATTGTCACGGTAGAAGACTAAGCACTAATTATTTGCAGAGAACGGAGCGATGGTGCGAAAGTAAAGTTGCAATTAATCTTGCCACTTGCGAGTGTAAAAGTCTTGTTCGAACGACTAATCAACTCCCCCGTTACGCAAGCACGCTTGGAAATTTTTGTGCCAATTTTGGCCAAGTTTTGTGTCCCCAGTTTCCAGTCCCTAATTAGCAGTTCTATAGCGCGGTCATTTGGCAGCCATTTTCGCTCAAGAGTCCTGGTCAGAATTTGGCCATTTGCGGAGGAATGGGTACTTGGGGAGTTTTTCCCACTCAAAAACAAATTTCTACAGGCTTTAAGCTTTCTGTTGATATGCGATTTGCATGCGTTTACATCTTTCTTCGGCAAAATTTTCCCTTGTACTTTTACTCTCTGTTTCATGCACACTGAGTTCTCAGTCCTTCAAGAAAAATTGAGTATTTTTGTCGAAAATTTTCTCGCTGGGAAACGTATTATTGCCAGGTATGTTATCGTAAACAGAAGACCTGAAACCTCGGCTGTGTTTTCCTCGTTTTGGTTTTTTACCGGATGCCTCTGCTTCTTAGAGATTTTTGCGTTTATATGGTTCGCTGAGCGGTTTACATGGGGAGCAGGTCACGAAGAAAGAGCACTACATCGAAGAAATGCAAGTCAAATTTTCCTGTTGGGGAGCTCAGTAAGCAGAGGGCTACTCTTCGAGCGGAGTACCTTTCGAGATCAAAGGAAATTTGTACCTTAAAAAAAGGCTTCAGCGACTCAAGAATAAGGTAAGTTTAGCTTGAAAAAGGTTTTTTTAGTGAAAGGAGAGGACTACCGTGTGGCACGAAAATTTTGCGGGTTCTTATTTTTGCGATTTTTCCATCGATCCGCTAAAATTTACTCCAGAGTAAATGTTCTCTAAGTTAAATTCGCTACATTCATTTCTTACAGAAGAAGTGGGAAGAAGTTGATAAAATATCAAGCAAACTCATCTTGTGTGATCATGTCCGCAATTCTCACGACCACTCTGTTTAACAAAGTATTTATATTACAAGGAGAAATTTGATGCTGATCATTCATAGGGCTTAAAGGGTTAACTTATGTTCTTGGACTTTCAGAAAACTCGCATAAAAAAAAAAAAAAAAAAAAAAAATGTTGATTCGGTAAAAGTTGATCTTCCCGCTGTCAAGACTAAAAGAAGGTTAGTTTTTGAAGTGACAGCTAACACATCCACTCTAAGAAAAAAAAAGTCCAACTGTGCTCACTGATGAGGGAAAGCTAAACGTGCCGCAGCGAAGTGCCAGCAGATGACAACTTGAAACGTTGGTTGCAGCAACAGAGGTAAATGGTGGATCTGTTGAAGACAGGTCCCCAGCCTTGGATGGCATGTTTTCTACGCTGACTAAATATGCGAAGACAGCAGCTCTATCTAAATACTTTTCTTCATCAAAAAAGATGAGAAAAGCTAGTCTAGCAGTAATAAAACCTCAGGTTAAGCAGTATGAGCAAAGTGATCATAATGTCATTCGTTCACTTTCTATGCTTTATGCAGGAAGATTGATGGAAAAGGTAAAATATGAACAAACAAGATCAGCTCTTGTTATGAAAAATACTAAGAAACACACCAAGAAACTAGGTTCTGTGTCAAAAGAAAGAGTTTTGTTTGGTATGGGTATCCCATTCCTAAACTCCTTCCCTATCGGTTGTTAATGAAAAAAATTGAAGAAATTGATGTGGGGGAATTTTATTCAATAAGGGAAACCCTATGCCATGACCTTCCACCTGATCAGCAGGTTGATGGGGTCTATAGAAACCTGGAGAACTTTTTACTTCTGCTGGCCAAGTTCTATTTTGAAACTGATCAGTACAGGAAACCTGGGGATAAGCTGGTGTGGTTCAGTGAGAGGGAGGGAGCATTTAAGGTTGCCATAGGGGGTGATGGGGCTCCTTTTGGGAAATGGGATCAATCTATGTCATGGCTGATACGTTTTTTGAATGTGGGCCCAGGGTAGCTAGTCCCAGAGACAATTTTTTGCTCTTTGGAGCTAATTTTAAGGAGGACCACATGGTTGTTTCTCGTTTTACAGTGAAACTTGCTACAGACATGGAAAAAATAGAGAGCAAATCTTACACAGTATTGGGTAAGAATGTCACCTTTTCTTTTGATCTCCTGCCAGGAGATATGAAACTCCTTGCATATATAAATGGGGAATTAAGTAATGCGGCTAAATATTTTTCTAGCTTTGCTAATGTCTCCAAAGATGACTGTAATGCACTGAATGGGAAGTATGGAGAATCTCATGATTGTAAGTGGAAGCCTTGGCAGTATGCAGAAAGAATCAATGTTGCAAAACAGGTTGAAGATTTCAAGAAAAAAGTACCTAGTCATTTAGCAGTATCAACAAAGAGATCCAAAGTAACTCAATTTATTGCTGTAAAAAAATTCAGACAAGAATTCAAACCATTAATTGGTAAGCTATGTGACAAGGAAGTTGTTGAACCACTTCACCTTAAGAATAATGGTGTCCAACATTTTCATGCAATGTTACTTGATCTTGCTATTTCTGTAAGTAACCTTCCCAAAAAATTAAATAGCCTTGATGATTTGCCCTCCAATTCGGCAATGTCCAGGTATTTAAAGGCCATGGAACAAGATGTTAAAGCAGGGAGAATGAAAAAACAACTAGGTAGGTGGCTCCTTGAGGATAGAGCTAAAGATAAAGACTTCACTTACAGGTTAACTGGTAAAGATTCGCGCCTAATCTTGCATGGCTTTATGTATCTAGTGAAAGCAATTCAGGGTGACTCAAATGATCCCAAGTTGATAATGCGACTTCTGCCAATTGTCTTCATTGGTATTCGACTCAGGGTTTTTAGGTATGGTAATAAAGATGAAACAAAGGAAAAATAAAAATTACTTGAGATAAAAAAAAACTAACTACAACATATATATATGTTGCTACCTCAACTCATTAGTAACTGTATAGAAAACACTGTTCCCTCTTCAATGATGAAGGATACCAAAGGCATTCCAATGGCCATAATGGAATTTCAATTCCAACATTTCTTCTTTATATTTATATTTCATAATTCCATTCTTCCTTTCATCAACAATGAGTTCACTTCCCCTTTTCCAACTCCTAGCTTCTTTGTGAATCCTTGGCAGTCCTCAAATTTATTAAATAAGGCACACAGTCTTTTCATACTTGAGAATGTTATTGTGACTGAATAAGGCTGCTCCAAAACATCTACACCAAAACGTGTAAGATTTACAACCCCTTTATTCAATAAATTGAACACTTCCTGTGGCATCGGGACGTCAAAACAAATCATCCAAGGATGGATTTTACTCATCCGCGGTCTAAGTCGGCGATAAATGCCTTTCTTAGCACGTATCATTGTGCGCTCCAACATGGAAGATATGGGACAAATTTCATGCTGATATCGATCCCGAAGGGGACCGTATTTTCCCTTCACAACAGCCTCGGCCACTTTCCCTAGCGCTTGAAAAGTTTGATCTAGATCTCTCAGCTTATGTACATTTGAAATCCACCGGGAAAAATTCGACTTCTGGCGATTTAATGCTCCTTTAATGCCACTAATAACTTCCACTTGGTCAGGTTCCCTTTGAGCCGCCATTTTTTTTTTTGATTCACATGGACCCAATCCTCCGCGCGGCCGCGAAAAGTTGGCCGAATGTTAGGTCAAAATTTCCAAGCGTGAAGGGTTTTAAATATACTCTTGCGTTACATAACAGAAGGGTCAATGATTAAGAAAGGTGAGCGTGTTTTCACGTACTGCGCACGCTTTGTGAAAAGCAAAAAAGCCAAAAAAGTTGGGTTACCTATAACGCGAGTTTCACAATTCGTAAAACGGTTACAAACAGTTTAAAAACTCGAAAAGAGAGAAAAATGCAAAACCGCTTTCATACCTTTACTTTTTTTGTATTTTGTATTGCGAAAAAAATCTGTCAAGAGAACCCTGCAGTGATACATTACGTAGGTGTTAGATTCCCAAGTGGGCGTAATCGAAAATGTCCCAAGGAAAACTTTTCTGTCTGTAAATATATTTTTTTAAAAAAACTTACCGAACTTCTTCCCGTTTGGTTCATGAAAAGAGGCCAGTACATAGTGCAGATGAGGTAAAGGCGTCCAAAAAAGCTTATAGCTCATTTCCTGAAAAAACGGAAACAAATTCTTCGGGGGGAGGCGTGGTGTTTTAGGGAGCACGTGCCACGTGGCGTCAAATGTTGGGTAACACCGTAACCTGACTAACAGGGAGTAGGGAGCTGCAGAAAAAGTAATGATGTTAGCCTCGCTAGGGGAAAAAATCCATATATGCTTTATTTAACATATTTTTAAAATTCAGCAAAAGTTCACGCAGACCCCACAACTTCTGTAAACTCCTGGTAAATGTTCTTAGCTCCTCTCTCACTCTAAAACTTTACTAGCCAGGAGCCCATCAAATTTGGTGGGCGCCTGACTAGCCTGTTCCAGGAGCTCGGCTCCTGCCTGTTCCAGGCTCCAAGATAGTTGGACCCGTGGAATTGAGAAAGGGCGAACACGAAAAAAAAAAAAACGGGAGGAAACTTTTGCGTCTTCCCCATTATCTGAGAGCCTGGAACAGGCTATTTACATGACCATGCCTTTCTCATGCTTGGAGACTCTGGGGTAGCCGATTTGGAGTGACGAACTATCTCATCAAAGACCTATCGCCCTAGAAAATCGAGTCGTCTCGACTGGCTACCCATAGGTCTATCCAAAAGCAAAGCTATAAATTTAGAGCTCATTTTATTTAATTGAAAAAATAGAATATATATATTTCAATTACATCGCAACTAACTTCACAAGGTAATAATTTTACCAGTAGTCCGTTACCGGAAGCCCATTCCGTTACCCATTTTGGGACGTACGGATATGCGGTGGAAGGAGTATCTTTGTCCAAAATTGTGCTCAGGGATTTTTGACCCCCCTAAGAACGATGAAAAATTTTTGCTTTTACAAAGAACACCTTTTTTTACTAGACTGCGAGCAGTCTCTTGTTTTTCTTTGCAAAGTTCCTGCACGCGAAACCTAAGCACGCGAGCGGCGAAGTCGGGAACCGCGAGAAACGAGGGCGTAAGTCTCTGTAATAATAAAGTCGTGGTTTGCAATCGCGCTGGATGAGATAAGAACTAGAAGGATTTTAAGAGAAAAGGGGGACTGCAAGCAGTCTATTTTTTCACAGGGTTCACATTGCTCCTCGCAGGCCCTCGTTGCCTGCGTGGAGAACACGCGAAACATTCATACCCATAACACTTTGCGAGAAGTAGTTTACGCCGCTTCGGCTTGGAGCGAGCAGCCTTGAATTTTATCAACAGTTGGACCTCGAAAATACTGGGCAGCTCTGTCATCAAAAAGAGCCCTTAATCATGATCAAAGTCATCACTGCCATCGTCTGCGCTTTTGCAGCGATGCTGATGATTATTCTAAGCGTAGCCACGACGTACTGGCTTCAATGGGTGATAGTTTCTGAGGGTCATAACATCACACATTATCGAGGACTTTTCAAGCATTGCTGGGAATCTCGAGATAATGTCACAAATGAACTCATCAAAGAGGATTCTGGCTGTATGGGAGAATACAAAGATGTCAAAGCAGGTACAGATTTTGTTAAAAAACATATACGTGTTTGCAATCGTTGAAAATAAGCGTGGGAAATTTAGCTATGTGGCTGACGGTACAGTTGAGCTTATGTCCGATAAACTGAAAGAAGCTGTCTTGTGAGGTGCTCATAAAAATTCTGTTTCTCGTGATTTACTCTATTTTTTATAGTTCAAACAATTAACTTGATTATCTAGAGTATTTTACAGACATTGTACGCAAAGTTAATGAACCATTGCACAGCAACCTGAATATTCTTTTCTTCAGACTGCAGAACAGAAATGGTAAACATGCATAATTATGAGGCATTTTGGTCCAAATTCCTCACGAATTAATTGGCGCACCCAGTTCACGAAACAACAAGCGAAAGTTGAAAAACAACGCAAGAAAAATTGTAAACTTAACAAGGCATGATCAAAGTTATAACAAGTTTTGTAAGCTGCTTAGCGGCGATCTTGCTTGGGGTTTTGGCGTTGGCGACCGATTTTTGGCGTGTTTGGTGGAGGGAAGCCAAAGAAATCTCGGGGGTCCAATTTAATCACGAAGGATTATTTCACACTTGTCATGAAACTAGCATCAACAACACTGTAGTCGCTGCTGACAGCTGCACAGATTTACATGGTGAAGGGAGACCAGGTATACATTCACTGAAAAAAATGTACAAAAATGTTATTCTTTACAAGGAAACGTTTCATGTTTTATGTAAGCTTATGTGTTAATGATTCAACTTACAACTGATGTTGTGTCTGTTATAAACCCTCGAGGTACTAAAATTGGTTATGGGATAGGTTACAGGACATAAGCTCCGTGATAAGTTACATATTAAGTACCATTGTGCGAGATTAATAACACCGTGCTTCATATGTGAAAATATTGTCATAAAGTGTATTCCAAATTTGAAGAGTTTTGGTTTAAAGTATTCTTTCTAGAATACCACACATCATTGTACTTTTGCTTAAAAACAGTATTTTGGTGCATAGGTTTATGTAACGTACAAGCATTGCGAACACAGAAACTCGTCAACAATATTTTTCTTTGAAAAAAAGTCAGTAAGACAGAGATACGAAATCACAAATGTGCAATGTCAGAAGGCCCCCTTGTGTTGTATGTATATCAATTTTTAATTTGTGGCATAGAAAGTGCTTCATTTATATCATTACATTCAGAGGCCTAATTACCAAAACTATGTCAATAAATTAGGAGCAAAATCATTCTTTCATGTTGCGAGCTGACTTTTCTTTTTTGTCCAAAAAAAAATTAAGTCAGTTTCTTATATTTAAAAGCAACTTTTGATCATTTAAGACAATGATATTGGACTTAATTGCAGTGAAGCAATAATAATAATGAGTAAAAAATATTATTATTGTTTAAAGATGTCTGTTAACTTACGAAAGGGATGACTTCACTTTCAAGCATGCTGTTGGTTCTTATCTAGATGTTTTGAAGTTGCACAGTTTGCATCTGTGTTTCACTGAAAACATGACAAAATAATATTTCATAAGTTCATAGGTGGATTTGAATTTTTGCAAATGAAAGCATCTATCTTAGGAAAGTCTGTGATCAGCATTGTATTTCTGTTGCAAAGTCAGAAGCAGCGAGCAAAGAAAGTTGTATCTGATAACCTGGGACTAGTGGATTTTGCTATTGGGCCAGTGAATTCTGTTTTTTACTAGCCCAATGGGCAAGTGATTTTTTTTGGGGAAATTCAAATTACAGAATAATAAATCAATCCTGCTCATCAAAATATTTTTTTTCAGACTTGTTAAAATGACTTTTGAGGTAGTGCATGGTAACAACAGCTTACCCGAATGGTAAGCTGTAAAACTGACTTTCTTTGCACCCTGCAAAATTAGAAAAGAAATTCAAAAAAATTTTATTAAATGTACAAACCTGAAAAATTAGTAACACCACGTTGAAGAACTGGTGGAGAGGATTTAAATTCAATGGTTACATCACAGGATTTTGTCCAGACTAAAGGCTAGTTTTCACTCGCAACAGAATCAGAGTCATAGAAGTGTAGGACTTGATGATCTTTTGAAAACAGTGTTCTGGTTCCACTTAGACTCTGTCATTTAGAATCAAGCATAAAACTAGGTCAACGGAGTCGCAAGGAGAAGCGAAAGAACTAAACCAATCACAAAATGTGGGAATGAGCGTTGGGATATTGGTTTATCCTTCCGCTTCTGCTTCCAACTCTGACGATCTGTTTTTCACTAGATCGTAAATGTTGGAATCATAGGCGGAAATATCAAAAGAAATTGGAAACATTCTGATTCTTCTGACTTTGAGTCTGTTGCATTTATGACTCTGCTTACGACTTTGATTTTTGATTTTCACAAGGTCATGAGCACTCTTGCGACTTCCCCTACGATTCTGACTCGGACTCTGTTGCTAGTGAAAACCAGCCTTAAAAAAACTTGCAGCAATGCCATTTTATTTTCAGACTGGAATGGTGTAGTAATTGCATTTATGGTTTTGGGTCTCTTGTTCCACCTTGTTGCCTTCATCTTTGCGATTATAGCTGCATGTAGAAAAGGGCATCCATTCCCGTCATTCTGGGTGGCTGGACTCTTCTTTATTGCAGGTGAGTTTTCACTGGGCTGGAAATGTTTGTGGAATTCACACCAGGGTCAAGAAATCCATCCAATATTAGTTAGCCTGTGAAAACAGCCATCTCCTCTTGCTCCTTGCCAATATAGACATCTTGAAATGAAGACATCTGCACCTAAGCGACAGAAATTCCATACTGATGACATGAGATCTGTCCAGAATTTTCATCAGGAGCTCTGATTGTTCCACATAGTTAGCTACTGTCTATTAATGACAAACAAAAGATAAAAGGCCACAAAGGTCAAATGTAAACACAATGAATCTGCTACAAAACATTCAATATTCACTGAATACATTCTTCTTTAGAAGACGCATTTGAGTTTTTCTGAAGCTCAATCGCAGAAGAGCACAAAAAAATTTTACCATGATAATTGACCAGGGGAAACCTAAAACTCCACAAATTCGTATTTGGAACCCTATGACTACCGCATTAATTATGTAAACTTTGATTTACGTCATCATAATTGCATTTCTGTCATTGAAGCACAGACATCTTTCCTTTGAAAAATCCCTAGTCGCGAGAAGCGAGGAGAGACGGCTGTATTTGCTTGCTAAACCCCAGTTTTCTGTCTGTAATTTATGCCATACACAGGAGACACATCACAGGGGGGAAATCATTTTTGGATGGATTCAGTATGCAAAGAAAGCTGTGTCTAGCCTGGGACTATTGGATTCTGTTCTTAACTTGCCTGGTGGGCAAGTAAAGTGTTTTGGCGAATTAATATTACTGAAGAACTGTAATCAATCCTACTTATCCAAAAAAAAAAATCATGCCAATTAAAATAACTCTTGACGTGCACTAGTACATGTTTGTCACAGCTTGCCCAAGTGGCAAGCTGTAAAACTAACTTTCTTTGCACCCCATGGAATGCTCATGTCTAGTGTAGTGATATGAAAGGATAAGACAATTCTTTGTTGATTGGGAAACTTGTGTAAATTTTTGTCTAGGGTTTTTTCGTATAAATTTTAGTCAAGAATACTAATCAAAATTCATCCAAATTCACACTACTAAGGATGGAGACATCTTATTTGTCTCAGAGATTGGTTTCTTATCTTTTAGCGTGTCTTTGGCTTAAAAAAAAAATTAGCCTCAGTGGGCATCATTGCCTTATTAATAATGATAACAAAAAAATTGCCTGAAAAATACAACTGTGAAAATCTTTTGGGAAACAATTTATTCCCCTCTATGTATATTTCTTACCACTCTAAAATAATTTTATGTCAATGTTATTTTTTGTTTTCAGCAATACTGGTCATCATTGCCTTATTGGTTTACACATTCCATAATTGGAAATCTGACGTATTCTTTAGCTGGTCTTATGGTGGAGGATGGTCTACAGTGGCTTTATCCATTATAGCAGTGGTTTTAATAATGGCTGATCGCTGAGAATGGTTAAGAGCTCATCTGACAACAGAAATTCTCTTCATGTAAACATTGCACTTTTTTGGTCATAGTCTTTTTATTATTTATGTTTCAAGAGCTGCAGGACATAACTAGCTTTCTGGGGGGTCACTTATAACATGCCATTTGTATTATTTTTTAGTGGAGACAGAGGTCGTTACTGGTTTATGAAAATTGCATCAAAGGCAAGATTTTGTAGTCTCTCTTCAGGTTTATTGCTGGCACAAAATTTTAGGCATAAAATGTAGTTCTTGGTAAAAGAAAACGTTATAAGTGGAATTGACCTCATCAAGGCTGTGCTCTAACAAAATTGAAGGGAGCCGAATGCTATTAAATCCAGGGTGCCCAGCATATGATGTGTATGAAAAGACTAAGATTCTTTGTTACCCAAGACCAAAACTTAGGTGCCACCGACCACGGGGCACTGGTAGAGTAAAGCCTTGTCCATCCAAAAAAGCAGTTATACCTTCAACCCTGTTGTCAATAGCACAGAAAGATACATGAAGAGTAGGAAGAGACTCATCTAACTTTGAGGCGTACCTCTCAATAGAAATGTTTATTGAAAGAAATGTCGGTGGGCTCATCTAACTTAACTTTAAAAAAAAACCTATCACTTTGACAGTCCAATGTTTAATCACCTCCTGCATTGTACAGCTAAATAAAAGCTTGAAGGGTCTCAAATTACATTGGCCAAATATCCTCTACTTTTCAACTGGTAGTATTTTAGAAAGAAAATGGGACTGATCAATTTCTCTTTCTCTTGTTTGCTCATGTAAATATGCTTTCCACAAGACTTCTGACCAGTTGACACCAACAGGTTACAAATTTTTAGCTCTGTTTTTAGTAGATAAAATTAATGGTAGGGTCACATCCCAAATGTTTTTTTGTCCTCATGAAGATTTTTTCATAGGTTATTTAGTGTTCGTTGGAATTAGGATTTGTCATTGCTTCCCAGAAACAGTTATTTTGTAAAGTGCAAGAAGAATCACTGATAACATTTTAGTTTTGCATATTCTCTTATTGTGAGCCACAATGTTCAAGATTAATGTACATACAAGTTGTAATATTGCCAGGCTCTAAAGTGTTTCTACCCTAACAATTTTTGGTTGTATTTATCGTTATCATTGTAGAGTTACATGTAGAAGATTGATGAACTGTTGGAACTATTTCTGTGACTAGGATTTCCTTTATACTGTTTTGGACAGAAGAAATTAATGTGACTGATGTAAATGTAGTTCAGATCTAGGAAAACCCTGAACATGACAAATTCCAAGTATAAAAAATTAATTGAAACTCTCACTTGTATTAATAACAGATGACACTCTTTGTCCCTAGTTATTAATACAAACTGTATGAAAACTAGCCTGTGAGAAGGCTCACTGGTGTGAGTTCAGGGAAAATTGTGGTGGCAGAGCCCCAAATTCCTCGCCTTATTCTTCTTGCTGTCCTCACCAGCTTGGCTAGTAGCTCCACTGCTAAAATTTTGCCCAAGCTTGCACAAATGAGCCTACTTGCAGGCAATATGGCAACAGGACCCCAATTTTTTAATGATTAATAACCATTTTTCCAGTCCCTTGTCTCCTGTATTGGGGTTCCACCATTTTTTTATTAGAGGATGACATTTTATTTAAGTTTCTCTGGACTTGACGAGTTGTAAAATTTCTAATGATGGCCAACAGTTATATTGTTAGTAACAACAGTTTAATATTAAACAGCATTTTAGTTACTGGAAGTCTGTATTGTGGCCTTAATGTTGGGTTACTCTGCCATTCCCAAAGTGACTGAGTAAGTTAATCTGGGTTAATTACCACAACATCTTGGAGCCTCTGTTAACTGTTTTAAGTCCCAAAAATGACCAAAATCAATTTTCTCCTATCAAGGCAAATGTTGTGAGAAATGATCACCTGATGTGAACGCTTTGATCTCTCAAATTCTCTTAAGGAAATGTATAGAGATCAGTTTGGAGAATTTGTATGTGGATACTGGGGCTAAATGGGTTAACTGAAAGCCATCAGTGCCAATACAGGCAAACCTCTTTAATACAGACACCAAAGGGACAGAACTAAGTGTCAGCTTTACAGAGGTGTCCGTATAACAGAGGTAGGGAATGTATGATTTTTGGCATTTCTGGGACCAAATGAACTGTCCGTAATACAGAGGTGTCCGTAAGGAGAAGTTAGACTGTATAATCTTGACCAGTCTTTAAAAGCAACAACAACAAAAAGGGTAGTCTCCAATATTGAAAGGGTGCTTGGGAAAAAACTTTTTTAAGTGACTGTCAATCTCATGTTAAACTCTCCCTTTATTTTAAAGTAAACACAAGGCAGTTTGCGAGGATAATCTAGAGTTTTATCAAAAATATGTACAATGTTATATTACTGCATCTTAAGGCAACTCTTGGATAGATAGCATTGAAGGAAGCACCTATCCACTGGGTAGTAATCTAACAAAGGACAGTGTGACCCAATCTTGTTGTTTGACCGGGCATTCAGTAAAATGGAATACTACTTTTGCAATGTTGAGAGTGTCTGCTACAACTAGTAGATTGTACAAGGCATGAAGTCGTCAACAGATGCTACAAGTCGACCTCTCATACTTAAGATCTTAAAAGTGAGTGAGCTTCGATGCATGAGGTCGTTGCGCGACCGAACAAGCAACGGAGTCTCAAGGTTGACTTCTTTTGCCAGAATGGATTTGAATCATATAAATTCACGCAGGCAAAAAGATGATTGACATATGCTGTGTTGGGAGTGGCGTGAAATATCACTCACTGTTCCATTGGTCAATTGTCATGACGTCACCGATAGAATTTTCGACCGATGAATTTTCCGCCAAACAGGTATGAAAGTCCTTTAAAATGGCATAACCAACCAGGAAAAAAAGTAAAGGACTTAGAAAGTCTACTATGTAAGACACGTAAGTTGTGTAAGGTTTTTATCTTTTTCTTCTAAAATGGCTATCTAAACTGATTCATATCGAGATCAATCAAGTCAGCTTGAAATTTTCCTTTTTATTACCTTAAAATGTCTATACTTTACAAAATAACTTGTACAACCTTAAAACCTGATGGACTGACTGCGTTATAAATAATCACTCTAATATTCATTACTAATTTGATACAAAAATAACCACAAATAGTACGAGTTTACAAAACCATGCATAAAATCAAGCGCTTCAAAGCACAGTTCGGTTTCTGGAATAAACATCTACATTGTGTTAGGGGTATTATGTCCCCTTCACGGTATGTATGTTGCAATTTTATGGGCTTCGTAAGAGAAAGCCGTTTAAAAGGCGTTTTATACAAGTAATATTAATAAATCAATATTAATAATTATTGTTTTTTGCTAATATTACAGTATATATGATAACTAATCTAATAACTTGATTTTTTTCCAAATGAGACAGTACATATTTCGTAAGTTGTGAAAAAAAGGTCCACTGGCCTAGCCACTAGAAAAGAGATCGGATACTGGGTTTGTCTGGGTGGAAATTAAGACCCACTGCAAAACATTCATAAACTGAACAGCTGGCCATTATAAGGAGTTTTAAGGATGACATTCCAAGTACAAGGATCCATCAGTGATAAAATTATTCAGACACTGCCATTAAAGAGGGTGTATTTCAGAAAACAAAGCAATCTGGACCCCTCCCTCACCTCTCACCCCAACCAAAGTTAGCTAAGGTTTGCTCACTGGTAATTTACTACAGCAAGATACTGTTGTCAAAACATGAGAAATTTTCTTGCGGACAAAATTTCTCAAAACAACCAATTGTGTCACAGTAGTTGAAGCCTTTTGTTACAGTAAATCAGCGAGTATAATAATTTAATAATAATTTATTACTTATTCGGCGCAAATATCTATATGAATATATTCAAATGCGCCTTACAAGTTACATTAAAATAATAATAAAATAATAAATCTAATATAGTAAAACTATCCAGTAGTAGAGTAAAACTATCCAGTAGTAGAGTAGAGTATGTGGTTTAATTGGTTATCAAACAGTCAAGACTTGTGCAAATGAGGAGAACATAATTGTTTCTCTTAAAAACACACTGACATTCTTGTTCTCATATTCTCATATAGTTTCTTATAATTTGAAAATTTGCTTCAACCGATCAGAAGCACTACCCAGATCTGTGTAGTGACATGTCATCAGTGTGGAATTTCTGTTCTCATTTCTCAGACGTCATTTCGTGGGGAAAATAGCGGTGGCGTCGCGAAATGTTGTTTGTTTCTCAGGCTACCTCGTACTTTGACACAGAATGCCTGGAACATGCTACCATAAATCTTATTGTTTACGGACCCTTTCTGTAGAGCATCTTTCTAAATTTTATTGTTGATATTTATTCATTTTTTATCATTTATAAGACTAAATTTTGAACTCAATTAAGTTTTCTGCACATGTTAAAACAATATGCATCTCCAATTAGGTGATCTTCAACTGTAGCTAGTGGAACATGCTTTTGTAGCCTGCCCTGTGTCTACAGTTTAAATATACTTCAATCATAAAATATTGTTACTCTAAAAACAAAGATATCAAATGCAAAACTGCACCAGGTTTTGAAAACATCTTTCAGACTCTGCATTTAATTACTTTTAACAATTGTAGTTATATAGCGTATTAGTATTCACCAAATCAGTGGATAGCAATTTTTGCGCGTTCCGACTGGCTCCCGTAACTCGGAATATCCATGGATATTCACTGTTTTGGGACGGGATTCAAAATGGCTTCTCGTTTCGCGACAGTTTCAAAAGATGAAACAACAAATACCAAAAAGAGACAAAATTTGGCTTGTTGGTGTTTACAGGTCGGAAGAAAAATTTGCCACAAAATCATAAACAAAATGATCCCCAAAACACTTTCAATTGAAATGATAAACAAACCCAAACAAAATGACGTCTTTTATTTACAAAAAGTTCGTTTTTGATTTTATCCAACTGATTTGGTAAATACTGAAACAACTATCCCCCTTAGGGTCGGTTCATAGCGTTAGATGTATATCCTCAACGCTTCGCGTCTCGGTATATGGGTACTACTATTCACCTCCCCTTCAGGGGATAGTTGTATAATGTTTCTTGCCAACAGTTTGAACTCTCAGCTCTAACAGTAGCGAGCTTACGAAACGAGGACGACGACGGCTACGAGGACTTCATTTAAAAATACCAGTTCGCGTTATTCATATCACAACGAAGCTATTTCATGTCGTTTCGCGTTAAAAATGTGTAGTAACTGTCGAGGAATTAAACTGGTATGAGTGGGTTAGAAGCGTAGAGAGAGAACTGAAAATTCATCGTCATGTGCTAACGTCCTCCCCAGAACCTTGAATTTGGTCATTTCACGTCGTCATTTAGGAGATGACGGCAAAGAAATGTACCACAATGTAAAACGCACGTGCAGAGCGTGCAAAGCCATTGTTTTTGCTCACTAAACCTATTGTTTTGTAGCGTCGTCGTTTCGTAAGCTCCCAAGTAAGTGGCAAATGCCACAAAATCTTTTCTGTCAGAGGGTGACTGGATCTAGTAATATCTACCTTTGTGTATTAATACTATGACTAGTGTCGCTTAGCAATAACTTTTGAATCTGCTTCATGAATCATCCCACTGGGATGGGTCACAGTAAACACCTACTACCTGACTCTAACTAGGTTAATTACAGAGTAAACTCTTATAAATGAGGATCAGAGACTTCTACAGTGGGGTGGGGCGCGTTATTGTATGGCTGAAGCATAACATCATGATCCTGTGTTGATATAAAGCTTCCGCTACCCATCTCCTCCACAGCATCAACATTTGTTTTATCCATAAACCTCTCACCTTCGATTGCCTGGCGAACCTGCAATGAAAACAAGTGAGAATTTACACTTCAAAAAGAAGAAGGAGTGTTTTATCTGAAATGCACACAGTGAAAAGTGCATTGAAATTAGATGATTATTTGTCATCCAAATTAAGGTGTCCAAAAAAGACAAAAAGGTATGAGGGTCTCATGAGGGTCTCTAATGTTCAATAACTCTTGAAAAAAATTCAAAGTGAAAGTTTAAAAATTCTGTGTTAATTAGTAATATATTTTTAAACAAATATTTACAAGGACTCTTCATGTAGATTGAGGTAGCATAGAGCAGCCAATAGGTTAATGTTGCAATCCTGACCTTTGAATGAAAACGCTCAAACAAAACAGAAACAACAAACAAACAGAAATAGAGCGACTTGATTGGTATATCGAACAGATACAAACATGCATGGCTTTTGGTTGGTTAAGTGAATAATCAGCTGAAGAAAATTCATGCCCGAAGAACTTTCTAGAGTTCAATCAATACTTCGCTTTTAACATCATACTGCAACACGATTGGCCAATCAAACAATGCCTTCTCCATATTAGGGTTTTCCTTGGTGGGAAAACGAAGAGGCCATGTTTTGATCTTTTCATCCATTGGCTGATAAAACAAATAACAAACACTTAGCAAAACCATTTTTCAAGGTCATAAGAAAATCGCTCTACTGATCTCTACTTACCTCTTTGAGAGCTACAACACCCACCAGTCGACCCAGAGTAGTCACATAAGCATGCGAAAGGTTAAGGAGTGCAAAAAGCTTGTGAACCTGCAAGACATCATCAAATAAAATTAAAACCAAAGTCTAACATTCGCTCGTAGATGCAAACAGTACAATATCAAGGAGCTTTAACAAAGATTATAGTGACGGCAATAAGAAAGGCCAAAGAGTCATACATGTAGGTTCAGATAACAACAAAACAACAACTCTGCAAATGCATCACACATTTTTGTACATCTCTTTGCCGTCACTGCATGACCAGGACGTGAGACTTCGTAATTTCACATTATATGAAGGACATGACCATGAGAAAACGATTATTTTAATTTTTCTTTTTCTGAACTAACAGTCTTTTAGAGTTCAACTTCAGAAAAATTTGCCAACATTTTGAAGAATTAAAAATGAACAAGATGGAATAAGAGCGAAAAAGTTTAAGGTAGTGTGAATTCACTATTAATTTTGTGTGATGCCTTTGCTGCTACCGCCATTGTAGAAGCAAAAAGCTTCTATGTATTGGTGGAGGATGGAGACGGAGAATGGCTACCTGCAATTCTGCAACTGGCTGATAAATTTCAACATTAATAACCTAAAATGACAAAACTTCTAATGGGCAGCTGATATTAGCAGAAATCTCTAGTAAGTGGGCGATCTGATTCGTAACTCAGTTTAAAACAACCCCAACATACAAAATGGGGATTGAGAATTAATGGATTGCACAACTGAAACGGGGTTACATTTTCATAAGAGTTACTAGAATGGGGTCACACATTTTTGAGATTTTGGGGTTGAGAAAATTTTTTGGGCCTAGAGATGATTTCATTTTAGGATCCACCACTGGGCTTTATAGGGTAAAATGGTGGCTTGGATAAATTTTGCCTCAAAAGTAACTTACTATGGGGTCTATTGTCAATAGACTATAATGGGTTAGGGGCTATACTATTATATGATATACTATTACATCATAATCTACTGTTATTTGTCCATATGCTAAGGTATTGAAAATAATGTTGTAAAAAGGATATACCTTAAGGAGAGATGTTCTCTCCACCAGCTGGAATGGAGCTGGATCTATTTGACAATTACTGTAGTCTATTGTCCTCTGTAGTAGTTCTCTTTCCCATTGAATTTGCTGTGATAAAAACAAAGAACGCTGGTAAATTATGGAATGGCCATCACGGCAATGATAAACCATTGTCGTTGACACCCAGAAATTTAACAACAACATCTTTCTGGATATGTAGTCTTTCATTGGAGAGTATTAACCCTTTAAGCCTCACGAGTGATCAGCATCAAATTTCTCCTTGTAATATCAATTCTTTGTAAAATAGAGAGGTCATGAGAATTACAGACATGATCACACAGGATGAATTTGCTTGATATTTTATCAACTTCGAATTCTTCCCACTACTTCTATAGGAAATGAATGGGGGCAACAAATGAGAATTCAAATTTTGATCTTAAGGTTTAAAGGGTTAGATGTTTGACAGTTTTAGGTGTTTCTTCTGATATACAGATGGCGAGGAGTGGGTTGAGAAAACAGAACACAGCAGATGATATTTTTATGCCAATGTCAGGGTAATCTAATCAACTGAAAAATTAAGAATCAAATGCCAGCTATAGCTTTTCAAATTGTCAAGAATTCTCAGTCAAGTCCAACACTGATGCACTGTTACAGACCATTAAGAGCAGGTGATGAATCGTGCTCTCAAAACAAACCGTCAGCATTGCTGACAGTCCATATTTACTTCCTTGTTATGAATAATAGATGAGTTTCACAAGAACAAGGTGATAATGAGCTTACCTGTTCTCCATTAGGACCATCTTTATCACTTGCTTCAGCTATTCTCTACAAGAAAGAAAACAAAATTCTTTCATTTAAAGAGTAGTTATGGTAACTGAGCTGTGAAGAATGACCAGGAAGTTTGAAAACACGAGAGAAATATAAGAGTTGCGTTGCATGCTTTGCACTCAGACTGAATTATGTTACAATTCTTTAGGCTCATTTTAGCAATAGATAAAAGGTAAAATTAATATTGTAACAGCATAGTCCAAAATGCTGGAAGTGATAACTTTGCTTTGTACTTGAATTAGTAAACTATACAAAAGGCATTCTCGTTGTTAACCATTATGATAGCTGGTGTAATTTAGCACAAGATAGCAACCTAGAGCAACTTTTATTTGGAACAAAGTGTCACAAATAATTCAAATCAGAAAAGGAAGAACAAACCAACCTCAGCATCATTAAGAGCTGACCCACTACCAAACAGCTTATGAAGTCTAGCAGGAACTAGAAAATGAACAAAAAAACTGCAAGTCATCAAAAAGAAAATGAATTTCTGACAGCATCAAGCATTGCTCGGGGAATTTCAATTTTGCAGTTTGCAAGGTTTGAACAAAGAACACAAGCATTTAAGGGTACCTGTTATTTTATCTAACAGAGACTTTCCAGTGGAAAGTCTTGGGCTTGTGACCTGCAGAGTAAAACAAAAACATTAAAAAGTGACCGAATTGAGATTCAACTCTGAGTGTTGGGACATTATAACAATATTGTAGAGAAATAATTATTCTTCAACACCAACATATTCTTGAAAGTTATGCAAAGCTTTCAGCACTCATCCGGATCCCTTCATCAATGACATTCTCTGAGGTTTGCTGCGAATAACAGCAAACATCACTGATGAAGAGATTCAAATGGGTTCTGGAAGTCTGGTGCAACTTTCAAGAATTTCCTCCCCTGGTGTTAAAGAATATTTCTTTGAAACATGAAAAACTAACTAAATTACTTGTAAACTTGCCAATTGTAAACAAGTTATTAAAATACTTATTCTCCAAGACCTTGACTATCAAAGTAAAAAATAAACATAAAAAATTATAAAATTAATCATTGGATTCCACAAGTGATTGTTTTATATTTTGTGACTGACTGAACAAAAAAGTAAGCAAATGGATGATCTGATCTGTCCGGCAGTTATTGTTTTGTAACAAGACATACTTTTTGTGATACTTGAGCTGACACTTCAACTGTCGTAGGAGAGACATGGCCATCACTGCTGTGGTCCCTGAAAGAAATGTCGCTCACAAATGTCACACTATACCTTCAAATAATGTAAAGATTAGTTTCTGAGGATTAGCATTAAAAGGAGGGCAGAGTAAAATGCAGACTGTAGACTGACTGTGGACTATTATTTTTAGGGTTAGAAAACAATGGCACTATTGTTGTCACAAACTCATTTGCATGGTGAAAACGATAATCTGCAGTCTGCGTCCATTTAAAATCATTTGAAGCTCAACCTCTTAAGTTTTCAAAATGTATCTTCAGTAATCAGTACCACTAAATCAACGGTCAAGAGCAAAAGGACAAAGACTACTGAACAGTCTAGCAGTGCAAGAAACCACTAGATTAGATTGCCTGTGTATGCATGGCTACTTAAACCCTTTAGGCCGTAAGAGTGATCAGTATCAAATGTATAGGGGCAACAAATGAGAATTCAAATTTTGCCTGGTTTTTTGGGTTGATGGGTTTTTCCTTTGTCTTTAACATTCCCCATCCCAAGAGTTTGCACCTGAGTTTCACAGAGATGGGTTTAATTGAACCTTCAGGAAGTGATTCTTATTGTGTGTCCAAGCTGGGGTTTAATCAAAGCCTTGTTGTTTCACTCTCTGCCTGGCTGCTGGTTTGAAATTTCAATTTTTGCCCATGTGTTGATTGAAAAGTGATTGAAGTTGCTTCTTCACTGATTGTTGAGCCAAGGAGAAGTTTTGGAATCTAAGTTGGAATTTTCAACAACATTATTATTATTATTAGCATGTAAACAACACCAAGACTTCCTGCACCTGAGTCTCCACAGATGGGTTTACTTCATTCCCCACAGACCCGGTTTAAGGCTGGAGAGCACACAGCTTCTCACACAATAATGACTCAACTTTATTTTGAGCGAATTCATGTTACACTTGTAATCACCTTAGTGGAGAGGTACAGTATCAGCCCTTTGTTCAAAATGGATTGATGAGCAATAAAAGAGTGTCCTGGGGGGAGTAATACTACCATATATAGGCTATATAGTACATATTTAAGGAAATAATGCTGTGAAGGGTATGGTCTTCAAGCAGTTAAGTATGGGATGGGGTACACAAATCAAATAGTTTAAGTCTAGAATAAGGGTATCAATTTCCAGGAAACTGATCAATTTGTTGAAGATTTTATTCAAGACTATGGAAAGCATGCATTGCCACTCAAAAAAAAAAAAATAGAAGTCAACAAATTTAAATTTACCTACAACCCAGTTCAATAGCAAAGAAAATTATAGTGACTCTGTGATCAATAGCAAGGGATTTGGGGAGTTCTCTAGTAGCAAAATTTAGGGCTCTGGGGCCCCAGTGGCATGTTCCCAACCAAAGATTCATAGAATACCCTTGGCTTGGGTGGGGGAGGGGGGGAGGGGAATTGGGGTACATTGGGAAAGAGAGTATGTGCCCAAATAAGAGTTTTTCAACAAGTTTCCAAGTAAAAAGAAACTAGCATATTTAATTAGTTACCTTCAGAATCTACCAGTGGATATGAACGTAGATCTGAATTTTCCAGGAGCGCTTTAAGGTCAGCGTACTTGGAGGTGTATGAGATGTAGAAAAGTTTGGTCTTCATTATATCAGCGACAAGTAAATTATAAACCCTGAAAGTCATAAGACAAACCAATCAGAAATTTCTACTCCAAACAGGTAACAAAAAAAAAAAATCTCAATTTGTAGAATAGGGAGAAAAAAAATAGCAAAATTGTACTATTAAAAAGTGCAGGTTCTAACAAAGTGAGTTCATTTAAAGTCATACCAAGGGATGTTGTCCAAACCCTTAAACGTTTCAGCTACATCATTCAAAGGTGTTTTCAATGATGTCAGGGATAGAGGTGAAATAAATTGTCTATGGGGCTGTGCTCTAGCAGAGCAATGGTCACCCCTAGCACCCAACTTTTGCTCTTGGCCAACAAGAGTCTTAGTCTTTCCATACAAATCCTATGCTGGGCAACCTAGAATTTACAGCTTCAGAGCACTGGGCTCCCTTCAGGTTTCCTTAGAGCACAGCAGATATAAGTGGAGTCCGAAGAAACTCTGTGTTTGTTGCTTACTGAGTTTTTGTAACATCAGGAAGATATGGCAGCCTCTTGATTTGAATAATGCTATCGTAAAATGATGGCTGCAGCCACTGTGCAATAGCATTAGCAATCAAAACAGCAATCTACAATAGAAAAAGAAATTAATCAGATTAATTCATGTATGCAATCATTTTGCATTCTTCAATACAGCTGAGGATGCAGTTGTGAGACTGGCAATAATATAATGCACAGTTCCAATCCAAATGAACAAAATAGAAGATTATGATATTAATTTAAACTGTGAACGGATGGATGGAATAAGGCCCATGGCAAGTGTCTCCTGATCTACTTTCAAATTCTCTCCATGATTGACAAGTATGTACCAGACACACTGGAAGATAAATCTAGTATTTTATCAGAAGTGAAAAGATACTTGCACCTTTATTCTGACTAGTCACCCAAGCACTGTACAAGTTAAGGATTGCATAGAACATACCATAACAGGTAGAATGTGTGTGATTTGTCCAGTGAGTTCAAACACAATCACAGATGTAGAAATGGTGTGTGTAACAGCTGCTGACATTGCTGCAGCTCCTGTGTACCACAAAACAAAAACAGTAGGCACATATAACTATGATCAGCTGTTTCCCTGGAAAATGAAAGAAATGACTAAAAGTTTAGGGGTGGAATGAGGCTCTGCCAGGGTAAATTCTGACAAGCGACATGGCCCAAAAAGTAGTGACAGCGCGTTAAATGAAATCCCAACAAGAGACAACCTCCCTCAGCCAAATTGCGACAGTGACGGCAAAGTCAACAATAAGCGACAAGCATTTATAAACACCCACACGAGACGTTTTAAAATTCAGATGGGTGACATGGGACCCCCGCCCCTAGCAGGGCCTCTGGAATCCTCAGGGATCCAGGATTATTTAGATCCATGTGCATCAAAGGAACCAATAAATAGCTGCCCTGAGAGAATTCATCACTTTCTTTGATGCATGTGATCTGAGTGATCTCTGTATCACTGATCATGAGATGGGTCATCCCAAAGGAATGCACCCAAGGTATATGCAAAGAACTCTTAGTGACAACATAGAACTGCACATACATGCATTGAAACTTAGAAATTGCATGCATTAAATCATCTTCGCTAGAGTAGATGAGTCCAAACCTCTTGTTGGAAGACACCCCCTGTGGTTTGATCCTCATAAGCAATCACCTTCCATAAGCAACCATTAATTCTTCCCATTTTGGGTGATTGCTTAAGGGAGGTTTGGCTGTATTTCCAACAACAATTAATTCTTTAAACTTGTGGAGTAGGCTTGAGAGAAACAGTACAGCTACATCAGAAAACTTAGTTCTATCATATGTCCTTACCAACAACAGCGTATCCTCCAGGAACAATGGGTGTGATAGCATCTCCAGAGTTAACACCATCAGGAAACCATGTTGCCATGGCTTCGCCCACAAGACGACCAAATGCCGCTCCTACAAAAACAGCAATAACTCAAATGATTGATGCTTGCATTCACAGTCAAACCAGGCCAAGCCTACCCGTAAGATTCCATTAGTTTGTTATTTGAGAGTTGAATCTGTTGGTAGTTGTAGATCTCAGGTTCATCTCTACATTCCTGCATGGGTAAAACCTATTAAAGTAATAAATCATGAAAATAATCTCTTACCAATTAAAAAGACGGGGAAGAAGACACCAGCAGGAATGGGTAAAGCAACAGATACTGCGGTCATTATAAACTGTAACAAAAAAAGCCAAGAGAAGAGAAAATTTATTTGGTGATAAGTTACAGACAGCATCACTACAGAATCACAACGAAACCCAAACTACTGCACTTTTCAATAACATGCAACCTTTAAAGTACAAGCTTCAACCAATATTAACAGTTATGTTTTTTGTCTCTGTCAATCACAATTGCAAAGAAATGAAACAAACAAAATAAATCGAAATCTGAAAGTAATTTAAGCCTATGGACCTTTTGAAAATTAATAGAGGATTTACAGAGGAGCAAAAAACCTTTTGAGAATTTTATCCATTTGTTTTGTTTTTCATAATTATGATTGATAAAAGACAAGAATATAAAATAATGTTGGATAATTTTTTTCTTTAAAGATCACATATTATCGAACAGCCCAGAAATTAGACTACAGAAACCAAGAACGGCCCCAGTTCTTCAATCCACTGGATTTATCTCTATCTAGTAAATAGTGCAATTGGTTTCCCTAATACTTATCCACTGTATAGTAATTTATCCAGCAGACAGCGCTATCCATTGTTGAACAACCGGGGCCATAAATGTTTCCAATAAGTACCTTAAGGACAATAAATATAACCAAGGTGACATAGATATTAGTATTGGCTCCATCCCAATGTTCTAGAACATTTAAACTTGCTTGATCTTCAGAGTTTTGTGCTTCAGACCATGTGATGTTCATAAACAGCTCATCTATTGCTTGCTGTGACGTTAACTGATGACAAAAGACATTTTACACTATTTAGTATAAAAATCAATAGTAAGACAGGTGGATGTTATCATTTTAAAAAAGGTACAGTGAGGAGTCCTTATTTTATGTCAGCAACTTGAAATAGTCATCTCACTAACAAGCCTGAGACTGATGGTGCACCCTCCATCAGTGCTCCATCTTATGGATATTTACAGCTACTTAAAGAGGCCCTGCCAGGGTAAATTCCGACAAGCGACATGGCCCAAAAAGTAGTGACAGCACGTAAAATGAAATCGCGACAAGAGACAACCTCCCTCGGCCAAATTGCGACAGTGATGGCAAAGCCGACAATAAGTGACAAGCATTTATAAACACCAACACAAGACATCTTAAAATTCAGATGGGCGACATGGGACCCCCCCACCCCCCCGGCAGGGCCTCCTTAAAGCTAAATAGAAAGGAAAGAGGTCAAAAGAAGGATTTGAGGTCACATCTGGGAGTCACAATTGGGATCTCCAGCACAGAAGGCCGTGCACTAACCAACTCTGCTAATCCTTCTTCCTACATACAACACTTTGTTTAGTTAATATTAGTGATAACCATGGAATGAAGACCCACCTCTCCTGCCATGAATTGCCCAAGTCCCTTTGGAAACGTTATAGTAGCAATAACGAAAATCACTACAGCTGGATACACAAAACGGCTGTAATAAAAAGTTACAAAACACCTAGTTACGATACCAAATAATAAAGAATATAATGGAAAAAAGGAAAGATGGTTGAGACTGTTAGGGCTTATCAAGGAGGGCAAGCACGTGCATAACTTTTTTGTGGACTCTCCTGGGACTAAAATTGCATATTTGAATTGTTCAGCCCAGTCAAACTCCTTAATTCAATGCAAGACAGCGTGCAAAGAAAGTAGTGTCAGATAGCCTGTGGTTAGTGGATTTTACTTTCGGGCTAGTGACTTATGTTCTTAACTTGCCTGCCTGGCAAATGAAATCTGTAAAACCGACTTTATTTGCACCCTGCCAGACATCATAGGTTACGTCCAACAAATTATGGGTTTTACACAACTGACCCCTGGATTATCCAGAAGTCTCTAAAATAGAGGATAAATATCTCACTCTCCCACAAGAGTCATAATTATTTTACTATTTCCCAATATATAAGAGGCCTTGCAACTTTTTTGTACTTTTGCCCCAAACTTAAGCATTAATCTCAAGTTAAAATAATAATTGTAGCAGTTTCTAGCAGAATAATTAAGGGTCCTTTCAACACTGTCATTAACTATTTCTGTGTTGCTACTGGGGGTGGGGTGGGCTGAGGATGGGAAGGGAGGGCAGTGCAGTGCAGTGCAAGATAAAGACTCCAGAATTCAGTTCTCCAGCTGAGGTTGCCATGTCTGTAACTTACTTCTTTGTGAGAAACTTTGCCAGCTTGGTGTGTTTGTGTGTTCTCTGCATATCAACAAGCTTTCTATGTGTAAACACAAACAAGGCTCCTCCGAAACCACAAAACAATCTAAAAACAAAGAAATATGTCAAACTCATTTACATTCATACATAAACTGATTACCACATAAGACTAGACACCAGGGCCGAGTTGTTCAAAGCTGGGTTAAGATAACCCAGTGTTAGTGTGAGATTTGAATTCAGATTTGAAAGCTTAAAAAGCATTTCAGTTTTAATTCTTTTTGTCTACAAGTTGATGATAGGAAGCTCTAAAAATACCACCGAAAATTATCCAAGAAAATGCTTTTGAACACAAGAAAAAGAAACCCGCGTTAAATTTAAACCGGGGTTAAGCGCTAATCGGCCTTCGAACAACTGGGTTCAGTTACTTAGATGAAGATGTAAGTATACTAACAACTGACACTGAGTATAATTATTTTGACCTTGCATTGTTTGCCTCTGAGAATATGAAATTACTAATAAGCAAATTTTACTTCCACAAATAATCCATACCTACAACATAAAGGTTTATAAAATTCTGAGAAAATTGTGAGAAGACTGATATTGAAATGGTGTATTTCAGAGGACCAAAGAGAGGGAGCAGGGCTTACAGAGGGTAGAGAATAATGTTTGCAGTGGAACAGTGCAGATATTAGACTTACTTACCCGATTAATGCAAAAGCCAGAAACTCTTCCACATCAAAGGGAAAGTCTAGTCTAAAATTTGTCTTGAAAAGAGCAGTAACCGTTTCTGCGAAAAGAACACAATTTGTTTAGATATCAAGTAATTTGACAATTACCTAGTATTAACCATCTTCTACTGTCACAAAAGTTGCTGATGGTACGGGCCTTGCATTTGAAATTACACCCAACAAGCAAACAGTTAATGACTAAATGTGTGTTTTTGAGTTGGGGTTGCACTTCTCAGAGTAGCTGCTGAACTCAATGGCGCACAGTTGAAGTCTTCAAATTAATTATGCACTTCAATATGCTTAATGAAGGGTTTTTAACTGAATTTTTCTACTCTTGTTTCAGGACATAATAGACTTGTCAGCTTTATCAGACGAGTGCTTCAACTAAAGCTCTAGCTACGTAAATTATCTTAAAAACACATTAGGTCAAGGACGGGAAAATGAATACAACAGACGGAATTTTAAAACAATTTTAAACTCAGTGGCTATTAATAAAAGCACCTTCTTCTTTATCAAACACAGCTAGAAGGCGAAACATGAGTGCTCCACAAACAGCTGCAAAGAATCCTCGCCAGTAATTCCGCACGGCAAAATATGTTGCAGTTACCTCAATACTGAACAACACACCTATAGAATAACAAAATTAGTGATAAGTTGTGGGATTATGATATTGAATAATAACCCTCACATGTTCAATAATCATATTTGTTTGTTTATTGTTTTCCCCCAAAATGGGGTTACTGGTAAAACAGCCACAACTAAGCAAAGGTTTTTTAAAAAAGAACCAACAGAAAATTTGTTTATTGCAAAATGCAAATAACTGCCATTCTTACAAAACTGCACTCTTAACATTTGAGTGGTGACCACTATATACAAGTTGCACCAATTAATACTACAGTAATAATGTCAAACCTTTTGTACGTGCCCTTGACAATGGCTATTCTATCTTGCACAGGTTTGAAAAAAAAAATGTTCAAAAAAACATACAAATATATCAGTTTTTCACTTTATTACTGTGCTGCCATCTTTAATTTTCACTACACCACCTTGATGCCCCTACATGGTCGCTGCATGAACATCGATGTTGCTCATATATGTTACAGGTCAAAATTAAATTCAGGTTAATTTTTTTAAACCTAGGTTGATGCCTAATTTCCTTTGCCTCCTAGCACTAATTCATGAATAATCAGGGACAGGAGGAAAGGAAATTGAGAATCAACCTACCGGTAGGTAAAAAAATTTTACACTGAATGTAATTTTGTCCTGTAACATAATACATACCTCCGATGGGAGATCCAAAACAACTTGATACACCTACTGCGCAAGCTGCTGCTAACATTTCTGTATTTCTGGACTCATTCTAAAAATTTCACAATCATACAAAATAACAGATTAGTAACAGAGCTAGTACTTGTAAATGTTCATTAAGAGTTGAACATTATGATATTCTAAAACACCCTAAGTTTTGAACTGTTAATTTTTTGGCAATTCCTTGAGGAAAAAGTTGTGGACTTAAGTTCCTGTCCAGCAATCAGTAGACCAATGTTGATGGAAAAAGCTTTAAGCTTTCGTTAAAAACAAAGTGCGACAATCAAAAAGAAACATTTCATCTTACTGTGTAAATTCCTTTAAATGATGCCACAAACTTTCCCATGGATCGAGCTACCATACTTGCAATATGAACAAAAGGTCCCTGTGGGAAGTAGTTATGTCAAACTTAATAAAATTATTTATTAAAAAAATATTAGTCATCTATGAATTAACCAAAAAAAGACAAAAGGAAGTAGAATTGTACCCAAAAATATATATTTTGCTTTAATGTAATCCTTGGTTTAAATTTTTATTTCCTTCATTTCAATCTCATTATCACACATACCCATAAACAAACAAATATACATTAATTCAAACCAAGGACAAAAGTGAACCTCAACACAACAGTCATATGTACAGTGTTGCAAGCAGCTACACAATCACAAAACTCACCTCTTTTCCAATTGGAATACTGCTTCCTAATGCAGTTAGAAGACCAATCTGTGTACAGACAATTCAAATATGGAACTGGTCTACACATTTTATTGCTTCAATTAGTTAAGGTTTAATCAAATAAGCACTCTACTTAGTGGATGAAACATTATCATTTATAAGCATCTAAGTATTCACGAGACTTCCTGCAAAAAAGTGCAGTGCACATTGATTTTACTCATATAGCTGTCGTTTGCCAAAGTGCAGGCATCTTGTAACTCAGCATTATTATGGTGCAGAATTTACATGTAAATCATACCTTCATTCATCTCTGACATAGTTGTTGGGATTACTCAAGTGCAGATTTGATATTCTTTCTATAAACAGTTCTCAAAACTTTAAAAGCATTGTAGCCTATTAAACTTACCACTTTAGCAATCAATGTTCTTAATGACAAATAACGTTTTAGCACTGTTCCCCTTAAAATAACTTTCATTTCAGGAATGCCTGATCCTGAAACAAGAGAAAAAGACTTTGAATCAATAGTCAATTTCTAATATTTCTTTTTTGCATTGACAGAATTTTTACCTTTATCGAAAGGTACGTTTTGACAAGCTGAAAAACAGGGGTTCAGTGACTCATATTTTCCAAGCTCAACTGAGTATTTTTCAGGGGTTGTAATGTTGCCAAGGTAACTTATGGTAACTATGGTATCTTTAATACCATCTTTGTTGGTTGAATTTAAAAAGGTGGTTTTTAATTTCAACTATAATAATGTATTGATCCATCAATGTTGAGGTCACACCTAAGAATCCTTGAAGTCAGTGTGAGCCACCTTAATCAATTGTACATACAGTTGACTCCCGATAACTCGAACCCTCGCTAACTCGAACCAAAATCGATTTCCCCTGGATTTCCTTCATACATTTACTGTAATTTTACTCACAGTAACTCGAAACCCTCCATAACTCTAACCTCCCACTAACTCGAGGTAATTTTTGTTTCCCTTCAGATCATTTTTATGCAGTTTTACCATCATTAACTCGAACCATGTTTTTAAGCATGTGACAAGTCGAAAAAAAGCAGTGAACTGTAGTCCAAAACATTAAATTTATTTCAAAACAACCATGTATTTTTGGTCTTTACTTTTTTGTGAGTCCATGTTAAGTGCTCTCCTGTGAAGTGTGCATGATGCTTGCATTCCTTCCTATTTCCATTTCCCTACTTCTGGTTTATTACTTCAAACTCCCAATAACTTAAACTTTTTCCAATTTCCCTTGAAGGTTCAAGTTATTGCGAGTCGACTGTAGTATAAATTTATACATTGCATAGTGAAAAACTTACCAATAGCATGAGGTGAAACAAGATATGTGAAGCCAACAGAGAAAGTGATAAGAGTCAGTGGAAAGCAAGTCCACACAATATACTGTACGAAAGTGTTGCTTGATACATTGTAAAGCCAAATGTGCGCTGAAAGTTAAATAATAGACCAATAATACTTGACTGGGTTAAAAGTTGTGTTGCCCCAATTCAACAATGTCACTCCCAAAGTCAATTTTTAAGTTACATGTATGTTATGTAGCTCTAACTTTTTAGTTTGTTTTGAATTCCTATGATGTAACCCCTGAAATGAAACCTCTGGTCCACCTTTATTACATTCATGTACTTCCATATGGTATTATTTTGTTTCTTAGTGTTAAAATAATTTATTAATTTAAGGTTGTAGATTAAACAACAGTATTATTTTTTCTTTTTCTTTTCTTTTACAATAATTATTACAACATTTAAGACTGTGAACAAATACTTTTCAGTTTTTACAGAGCTCTGTTTCTAACAATCAACTCCAGTTTAACCTAGTCTATCTAACAATTATTCCTCGAGCCTGAATGGGCTCTGAGTCAATAGCCTGAGCCAAAGCATGAGGCCAAAGGCCAAATGGGCTAATGACTCAGAGGCCACGGGGGCAAGACGAATAATAATTGTTATAGTAAAATCCAACTAGTTGGTCAAAAATATCAAGACAAAACAACTTTAGCTAGCAAAACACAGTTCAGCCACCAATGTTTTGGTCTTCAAAGCCGGCGCTTTTTGCTACTAGTGGGCTATAACATATAGCCTAGTAGTAGCTCAACCAATAATATTATTAGAACGCAGCATTGATAATAGACCACTAGTTGGATTTTACTAAATTATCAATAGCCATCTATGGAAGAATAGAATTGTGATGAGCAAAATACAATATGGGCACAAATTTCTGAACTACAATATCTCTGAGCTGTGTTTTTGTGTGATAGTATTTGTACTCACCTGTTTGACATTTTTCAATTGCCAAATCTAACACAAAACTAATCAGTGCCATGATTATTCCAAGAATTAAAAGAAAAACCCAGTCGCTACCCAGTCGACTCCAGCACGGACGTAGCCATTCTATACACCCTAAAAGAAAGCATTTAAGGGGAAACAAGCATTACTAGGAATATTATACAAAAATACATTTAGGTACCTAATAAAAATATTACTGAGTAGGGAGTACTTGCTTAATTTTTGCTAGAGAAGCAAACGGTACAGCTGATTTCAGTCGTGAAAAAAATTTGAGCATGCTCAGGCAACAATGACCTATCAACTGCTGCCACAACCTAACTTAACTGAATTCCTTCACTTCATCAAAATAAAATATAATTACCATGAAGGCCCCTGGCTGATGGGTCCCATTTTGGAAAAAAAAAGCCAGCGTGGTCCCCCATGCTCCCAAATCAAGGATGGGAAAATGGTGCATTTTGGTTTTCGCACGGCTTCATCCTTGATTTGGGGAGATGGGGGGTTTACTATTCCATTTCACTTGGTCCAAGATTGTAGTTATTTAACTCACTAATATTCCAGGAGAGAACAAGAGAAATCACTACACATGCTAACCATGACATTGGTTGGTGTCTGGATATCAGAACAAACATATTGTGCATATTGTGTTTGAAAAATTACTTGAATCGGTGAGCAATAGTGTGTTGGCTGGACAACTATCTAAGTTTACCCAAGGCTGTACTCTACTAGCACCTGGTGGCCTGTAGTAGCTAACTTTTCCTCATGGGAGACTAGGAAATCTCAGTTTTTGCATAGAAATCATATGCTGAGCATGCACCCTGGATTTTTCAGGTTCAGGCCAAGGGGCTCCCTAAAATTTTTCTTAGAGCACAACCTTGACACTATCCCTCCTTCTCACCCAAATTTTTTGTAAGAGTAAATAACCCCTCTCTGTCATAAAGGAAGGCTGACGAAATAAGACTGAAGATTAGTCTTACTTCACTTTCTGCACAGATATATATAAAGCACAAATTTAATATACTCACTTTTAAAATATGAAAGGCAAGAATCATCATAATTTTTAAAATCATCCTCAGCTTGTTGTTGTTCCTTCTGTTGTTGCTCTCTCCGCAATCTTGCACCCTGTTCCTTGGCATATTTTTGAAGCTGTGTGGTCGTAAAACGGCCATACATCTACAACATATGAAACTCAAAGGTGAACTTTTAATTCTTTAATCTTCACTATCTTCAAATTCCTCCAAAAACCAGCATTATTGCCGCTAGATACTTTATACTCACTACAGTCTAAGCTACAATCTCACACAAAAACCTTGAAACACTTTGGAACATTCTGCTCCCTTTTGCTTTCCCCTCCCTTTTGATGATGTATCCATGGAAAATTTCACCAGGCAACTTCACTTTGCGAAAATCAGTTCCCCAAAAAAAGGTTGTTCCCCTGTGGGCCATAGCCATTCATGGCTAATATGAATACCTTTAGCAAGGCATTTGACAAGTTTCCACGCAACAGCTTGCTATACAAATTGTTTAAGTGTGGCTTTGATGACACTACATTGCAGTGGTTGAAGTTTTCTTGAGAAAAGAAGACAAAGTGTAGTTCTAGAAGGAGAGCATTCACATTCAGTTCCGGTAACATCAGGTGTACCCCAAGGATCAGTGCTGGGGCCATTAAGATTTCTTATTCTTATAAATGATCTCTCATGCTATGTTAAGTCAAGGGTCCATCTTTTTACCGATGACACTGTCATTTACCTTACAATAAAAACTGAGAGCAATTGCTGGCAATTACAAGATGACCTTCACAGCTTGGAAAAATGGGAATCCGACTGGTGTATGGAATTTAATCCAAGCAAGTGCAACATTATAAGGGTAACACGCAGATGTACACCTTTCAAATTTCAGTACAAACTTCATGGCTAGGTCCTAGAAACTGTTGATACTACTAAATATTTAGGGATCAACCTCTTGCATGATTTATGCTGGAATGATCATGTACATGAAATTACCACCAAAGCAACTTTCTATGTCACAATCTCCACACTTGTTCGGCCAAATCCAAAGAACAAGCTTACAAAGCCCTTGTGAGACTGATTGTTGAATACAGTGTCACTGTCTGGGACCCTTACGTAGCTAAGAACATACAACAGGTCAAAATGATTCAACGCTGAGCAGCTCGCTGGGTACCCGGGCGCTAACACAGATTAGACAGTGTCACTGATATGTTATCTTCTCTTAAATGGAAATCTCTGGAGCTCAGGCGATCTGACACACATCTCTATATGCTGTATAAACAGAGTAATGGATTAGCCACTTACGAATGCGACAAGCTTCAGCAAGAACATAAGAGCAGAATGGACACCAGGATCTCGTCTCTCAGTCACATGGCCACAGCTATTGCAACTTGTTGAATACCAACAACTGCGACATTTGTTGATCAACAAATGTTGGCTTGCTTATATGTTTTTGTACATTCCAGATCAATTGGAATTTAAATGGTTAAGTGATGGTTTCTAAGAGAGGCGCAATCCGGAACATCCGGATCGAGAAAAACCTCCCCGATCAAATTTGCAACATGTGTGACAGCCAGAGCTCTAAGCCCTGTTCCCTTGCTTTACTAATCCCAAAGGGGAGAAACGAGTTCCCAAACGTTTTATCTAGGCTCACGTATCCTTTGATCAGTGTTTCACAGACCGCAAAAGGAATCGTCACATCAAATAAACAGCTCATGTTATACTCATCACAAATATCCGGTACATAAACACCGGACGTAATACACGTTGTTTTGATACCGGTAAACATTCGAAAACGAAATTTGCAAAATCTAATAAAGCACGAAAAAACTTTACAAAGATTTTGTAGGCACTATTTAATTTCGTTACACATAACTTTAAGTGTTTGGGAATACCGTGATGACAACAAGAAAAGCTGAATTACTGTAGAACAGCTGAACGAACAGACGCGTGTAGTGATTTATCAGGCGTTAATTTCGTTCCAAACCTGTGCTTTGACAACCGTATTATAGGCAGTTAATTAGTAGTCGATTCTTTTCTTTCTCATGTAGGAAAAAATTGGAATCAATAGATTTTAAATACACAAAGTAAATCGACAACCAACTTTCGCACGAGCGAACCGCTCACGAAAATTTGTTTATGTCTAGTTGTCCACAAAATGAGCACAAACATTTTGAAACTTAAATTTATCCTACCAGAGTTTGTTCAAATCCATACGAATCTTCTTCTTCCATCATCTTGCTACAGAGAAAGCGAAAAAGTGCACTAAATAAACGACGAAGAATGTAAACTTCTTCTCATCGTGTCCATCGACGACTTTCGATGATTGAGAAGAGTGTGTAAATGGTAGTTACCGCTGAACAGAGCAACTTTTAAGATTTTTCCAGAGAAATACCTTATTGCTTGTCGGAGGTCCCTGCTGGTGACAGGGTTTACGGTTTTTGTGTTCTGTGATAACCAGTGTGCTTTTTACAAGACTCAACTTTTCTCGTGCAAACTGCTGGGTTTTTTCGCCTCTTAATCACACAAAACTGAAAAACGCCGTAAACTGAATTCCTGGGTTGCTGAGATCATGTATCAGTGTACGTGCTGAATCAATGTACGTGCTGCTGGAACGGCTTCTCGGAAATGCGATATCTGAACTAGGGTATCGAATTTCAAGTTCACTCCCTTCATTCTCAGGCGTTTTATTTTTCTGCAGTGATAGAAAGATATATTTCTATCATAGCTCTCTCTTCCTGTAAGAGGCATATTAGAGATATAAGGAAGGGCGCAGAGGAGTGCGAGTTGGCATTTACAAATAGTCATTTTTGAGTCCGGGTTTTGAGTAAGGCCTTGGCCTTGGCCCTGACAATTGTTCCTCTCACGGAGATTGGGGTCAGGAGCGCTCATGTTCCTCCCGCACTGCAGACCAGCCCTATACCATCTGCGTGACTACTGTTATCTCTGTGGCAGTAAAATAAGTCTTGAAATGCGGACGACCAAGCCGGAGACAGACATAAGGTGTAGGTTGATTGGTATGAAGCAAGGAGAAAGGACACAAAAGGTAGCCAAATACGTATGGGCCTCGCATGCGCGAAAGGAAAGGGTTATCACTAATGTAACTGACTCCCGAGAATGTCATTCCGGAATCGTGTTTACCATTTGCACGAATCAGTTTCATTTACCGGAAAACGGCCGCGAAGGCCTGAAACTGGTATCAAACATGGCTTTGAAGAAATGGAACACGAATTTCTGTTGGGATATTCAATCCGGAAAATCAGGACTATCTTTTCAGATGTACCGTTGCTCTTGGAAATTTTTCGCTGGAACGACGAAAAATTAAAAGTCATGTTTCGTTTACTTTCCAACCGCATTTTCCGGAATCTTTTTGTAAATGGTAAACAACCGTCATTTCGCGGGGAGACCAGTGATGGTGTCTTTAAACTGTCGGCTGTTTAATATCTCAGGCTACAATTTCTACCGAGAGATTAAGCCGGAACATCCCCGTCAATTTCATATGGGAGTCGCCCTCGGGATTGGCCACAGGTTTGAAAAGAAATCTTAATTCTATTAGAGAAGGTCCATATGAGCGATGTGGTCAAAAGACTGACAAACTTCCACAACAAAAAGACGACGAAAGATAAATGAAAATCCAACTACTACTTTATTGTCATATTTGGGTACAGCTTAAATAAACTTCAGTTTTACTCACCCCCGTTTTTTTTTTTCTGGTCCCGTTTTTTTTTTCTTGTAAACGTGTTTATTTAGTAACATTACAAGTTTTGTTTCTACAAAATATATACTCCTTTTTTTCACACAACTCTGAGGTATTTGTAGTTTGACAACTTAATTCAGTTTATTTCGCCAAGTGAATAAATATATTACCGTAACAACTGCGTAGTATAAATTATGTCCTCAGACAAATATGCATATCAAGGCAGTGCACTTTTAAAATATATACATGCTTTCCTTGACCATATGAGTCAATCCGTGACGGACAATTATAATACACATTATAAGGATATAACATAATACCTGTGTGATCTAACCCTAGCACGAAAAAGGCCGGTGTTTGAACGACGATTTTGAAGCAGAACCCTAATTTTTTTTGATTTTTTAATTTTTCTTTTTTCAATTGCTGGCATGGTTTTTCAACAAGTTCGGTTGCTATGGTTTCGAAAAATTAAGTTATAGGTGAGATAAGCCTTTTGCTTGTATACTGTGGTATTGAAAATAGTGCAAATGAGTCCGTTTACTAGAATTATGTTGTTCACATGTGTAAGTTATTCTTTGTGCAGCTTAAATCTCATGACGGACCACAATACTGCTATGATATTTCCAAGAATTACCCCAGTTGTCAGCAAAATGGTATTTGAAAATGTCGGACCAGGGAAACTCTCCAGTGACGGCCTTCTCTGTAGCATATCAAGCTCCATGGCGGAGAACTCGTCTGCCACCCCAATACTGCACAGAATGTGAAGGAAATGATGGCTATGGCCCAGGACGTCGAACGCGCCAATCATAAGTCGCTCTGGGATGCGAGTGACATAAGCTAACACACCTCCCGCGTAGAACAAACAGTGGCGCGCGAAGTAGTGAATGGATGAAACACTGCTGCACGTTGATGCCGGCTCACACAGCAGGAGCATTATTAAATAAGGCGAAGTGTTGTAAAGCCAAGAACTACTGTAAGTACCAGCCTTGACAAAGGCATCAAAGCGGTTCCTTTTGGCAAACGAGTAACAACATGCTAGGGTAGAGGCGAAGGAGATGGTGGCTGAAATTCCTAGAAATATGGCAGGGGTGTTAAAAATCACCCAGTCTGCTTCCACGGGGCGGGAATAGAAGTAGAAAACTTGACCAGCGGTGAAAGTGTACACGCTAATAGCGGAGTAATCAAAGAAGAAGCACACATAACGGGCCTTGATGGACATGCAGTTAAACAAGTGAGCGCCCGCGCTCATAAGCAACATAACAGAGATCCCAACCGCGAAGCACAGCAGTGGATAAACCCGTGAATCTTTGAAGGGGTCGTGTTTGGCGAATATTGACGCAAAACGTAGTAAGAACACAACAAGTGCCAATAAATGGCTCCAAATATTTATAGTTTCGTTGGTGGCTTGAAAGAGGCTCTTGAAACAATACCAGGCTGTCGTGTTACACTTTCTGTAGGCAGTAAGTATGAACGGTTCTCGAAAGAGTGGAGGCACCTGATCGACGCTGAAAAATTCCGTGTCATCTGCAGCATCGTTATTTATCCACTTCTTCATCGCTTTTGCGTTGTTGTTTTTATAATCGTTATCAATTTTGTTCACCGCAGACCCCGGTTCTCCAATTCCTCGATGGAACGTTTTATAATCTGCTTGCTCGTTCATCATAAGGAAATTTAAAGCATTAAAACGCTATTTGCGACTTCGTTTGGCCTCAGCTAAAACGGTAATTATTTTTTTACATCAAGGCCGTTCCAGGTGACTGCACGATCGACGAAGTGAATCTTCCAGAATATATAAAGTGCAATTTAAAACAGGGCATCGTCTAATTATGTAAATACCAATGGTTTTTCACGTGGCAGACTGCCGAATGGCAAAATCCCATTTTTATAACAATAATAGTGGGAAAAATAAAAGAGCGAAGCCCAAATAATGAAGTGAAAGTAGATCAAAGAAAAAAAAATACGCTGTCTGGTAAATAATGTTCATGTTCTTTTTTTAAAATTATTTTCACTAGATATTATAGCCCGCGCTGGCGAACGTGCGATATCTCGTGCACAGTATGATATGAACTTTGTCTCTTGCGTGATAAGAAGGCAAACACTTATCTATGACGTAACATTTACCCTTTTTCATAAAACGCTTATTGGGGGCCGATCATTTAAAACCAGAGGCTTTGACTGGGGTTTTCGGGGAAATTCATAATGATTTTGAAAAAAAAATTTCTTTTTTTTTTTCAAGCGCTTGCTCAGCAAATATTGAAAAAAATGAACAAGACAAAGCACAAATTTTCGGAAGCAAAACCAGTTCTTTGGCTATTCAAAAGAACGGTTACTGCCTGGGTAAAATGAAAAAGTTTTTCTGTGTGTGGAAAAAATATCCTGCAAACCAAATGTTTCAAAGAATAAAACACCATTTTAAAAAAATTTCATTTTTGACCAGTAAAACGTTTCTTTTCCTAATCCTTTTCAGCCTTTTGCTCACGCCATTCGAAACTAGCGTTGAATTAAGGTGTATATATATGTATGGGATCAGTATCACCATTCGGCTAATAAAACTGGCGGCTTTGACTCTTGTTTTCTCAGTAGTTAGTTAAATCTCTTGGTTAAATTCGTTAGTTGAGGACTGCCGATGCATTTTTTAATTTTCCCCTCTTTAACGCACGTTGCGCGTTGCTTTGCAACTATATTGAAAGATCAAAAATGAAAGAACAAGAAGGTACCTCTGTTTTTGGAAGCAAAACTTTTTTGGTTTTTTAACATCACTCTTGAACGGTTAAAGGACTAGTTATGGGAATTTTCACGGGGATATGCAGATGTTTGAAAGAATAAAACACCATTATGATTCCAAATTTCATTTTTATATATCTGTGGTAATTGTTTCTTTTGACCATGCCATTTGAAAGTAGCTTAGTATATGCTGTGGGCCCTTTGGTAAAGTGTGCTTTTTTTAAACCTATTGAAGGTAGCCTGATTCTCAGTGGTTAAAGATCATCAGAGCAAGTATGAACAAGTGACCTCGGGCTGACTATAGGCCAGGTGTGTTGGCATGGTAATGCAAGCCTTTTAGATTAGCAGTGATAACTATCGTACTTGTTTGGTAACAGCTGATACGAATATCATACGTCAAACTTTCGTGCTAGGTTACTATGATAACGGGCTTCTCTGTGTTTTAAAAAGTAACAAGGAGCCCATTATTACATGGCTGAATGGTAAAGCGAATCCTGTGTTCTGATTGGCTACCAGGTAGCTAAGGAATTTCCCGCGATGGTCCCGCAGTGGCCAGGAGCTCCTTCTTCAGTTTTGGCTCTTTTAATTGACCTTGACTTCGCCTTGGTCCAAAAAGACACACACAAAAAAACGAACTTGCATTTTGGGCCGAATATCCAGCCTTCTTGAGCTCACGTTTGGTCAATAACGCATTTATTGAACAGGCCATTTGTGAGTAGCTCCAAGCCTCAGTTTTAAAACGAGATAAAGTGCGAAGCCTTTGATATGAAAACGAAGTTTTTGCATTCCGTGAGTAAAACTCATTTTTTTTCTGAATCTGCCTCAATTTAGAGTGAGAATTTTTTAAACCAAAAGCACGGCTAAAACTTTTTCTATCTCAGTGATCGTTGTCGCTGCGATCGCTGGAGAGTGGTTTCCATATGATCGCTGTGATCGCTGAACGTTTTGTTCTCAGCGATCGTAGCGTTTACATGGAAACTGGGCTTAAGTAACGACGGCGACCGTCCTTTCAAACTTAAGCGCGTCTATTTGTTAAATATGGGCCATTTTTTCCTGGAGTTGATTTCTTAAGCACTTCAAATGAGAAAGGAAAATTCGTGCTCGTATGTTCTTGTCCTCCATCGAACATTGCATACGAAATTTACTAACAGTGAGCGAGATGCACGTGCAGAGCTGTTGTTTTGCTCATAAAACATATAGATTTTGATGTTGTAGTTGCTTATCGTCGTCGTCGTGCTTGGTTAAGATTTCAGAGTTGAGTTGTAACGGGAAGTCTGTAACCCCGTGATGACTTGTTCTTATAATTATACTAAATCGTATTAACTAAAGAGGGTCATTATGACGTCATCTTATTTGTTTTTCATATTATACGCAGATAATAAGTCTGACAGAATTGTCCACTTGCTTGATGTTTTAAATTATCAAAAGCAAACTTTGATTCTTGTTGATTAAACATTCTTTTGTGCTCTTGGTTACGACTTTGTGTCATGGCTAGTTCAGCTCTACATTTCTCTTCTCTTCCGAACTTCTGATACCGGACGAAACGGCGTTTATAAGTTATATAGTACTGGTTGCACTTTTCAGACTTTTAATAAGAAGAAGTTTAAAAGGCTAAATTAGAATCGACAGACCTTAAGCTCCACTGAGGCCGCATCTTTTGGACTTTGTCAACGAACTCTGTCAAGATTTTATAATTTTCAAGACAATTTAAAAATGTCTGCAGCTTCGGAGTCCCCAAGATCAAGGAAGGACGGGAAAGAAGACTCACACCACGAAAAAAATAATAACAACGATAATGATCGTGAAAAAACCTTAGAAATGCTTCGTAAACTACAACAACTAGAAGATAACACTTCTAAGACTAATACGCAGCTGGTGGTCGCGGATTCTTCAATGAGGAAAAGCGCATCTTTTCAGAATATAAGAGAGTTGTCTGAAGATTGTTCCTTCGATTTGAAGCGAAGAGGCTCAGATCCACGCTCCATACCGGACAGCCCCGCTAACTCGAGGAGAACCCCCGGGGGAAGACGGCAGAAGCCATGGGAACTACGGAGGTCATCTACTCCTATTCCGGGGGAACTGGATGTGAGCTCTGTTCTTTGTAAGGCTCTAGGGAGATTTTCACCAAAAGTGGGACACACAAGTGTTAAAGAAAAAGAAGAATTGGATGACTGACGATTCATAGCAACTCATTTGTAGGTTAGAAAGAAATCCGTTTCACAGAAAGATTTAGAATTGCTTTTAAAGCAAACGCAACTGTCTATTTGTACCACGTGACCAAGTTTCTCCTTTACTTTTCGTCAAAGTATTTTGTATTTACAGAAAATAAGACGTTTTTGACGGTTTTATTCAAAAGAAGTATTTTGAACAATTTTTGACTGCTCATATATCAATTAGAAAAATTGTCAAGTTGATTCTGATGCTTGTCTTTTACCGTAAACGTGATTTCAAAGTTTGTAGTAATACTTTTTGGCCTCCCGAAGTGGAAGAAAATATTGAATCCGAAATGAATCACCTTTATTAGTGCCTTTAAAAGGTTGTAATTTTATTTTCGTAGAGTGGTTTATCATCGAAATTATTTCAACATTACTCTGGTTTTCTCTTTCTACGTCACATGATTCAACATAAAAATTTTAGTGAACATCAATTTTCCATCCCCTAGGAATGTCGCCTAGTTTCTTTACAAAGGTAAAATTTTACATGTTCGACACACCCGAAACGTCTGGATCCTCTAAAGGCATTTATAACACTTTTCGATAATTTGTTAGGATATCACCCTATAAGCTTATATCTTAATGCAAGTGTCACGCACTACTAAAGGTCTGTACACACTAGGCGACAAGTTGCAGCAACACTTCGCGGCGACAGATCACTCTGTGTGTAGAGCTCGGGCGACTGTAGTTGCAGCAACACGGTGAGGCGACATGTCGCAGCCACAAATCGCTTCGTGCGTACGGGAGAGTTTTTGTGAAAATCTTTGTCTCCGCAACAGAATTTTGTTGCTGCAACAAGTCGCAAAAAATCAAATCAGACTGAAGTTGTGCGACTTAATGCGGCGACAAAATTCTGTTGCCGCGACAAATATTTTCACCAAATTTCTCCGGTGCAAACGGAGCGTTTTGTCGCTGCAACGTGTCTCTGCGACATGTTGCTGCAACTTGTCACCGAGTGTGTACCGAACTTACCCTGGATTTTATTTGGCTATGTCATTCACACTATACCGTAGCGCTGCACAGCTTTGCTCCATCACAGAAGTCGCGCCAAAATCATCATTCTCATCCGTAAACAGGAACCCTATCCAGTATGGGTTTCGTGCGAGCGCAAAAGCTATGCGGTACAGTATAAACACCTATCAGATATGTTAGAGAGCAGTTTCTCTCGGTTAAAGACACATGACAGAATTCGCGCCAAAATCTTGTGTGAGAACAGAAGCCCTATTTAGAAGCCCTATCCGGTATGGTTTTTGCGCAGGCGCAAAAGCTATCCAGGAATAGTGTGAATATAGCCTCATTTTGTGACAGCCTAGTCCCTAGGCGTTCTCTCTTGACCCGTTGTCCGTGCGAAGTCTGGGAAGACGTCACAGCTCATGGTAGAGTCCAGGATTGACCGCGCCGAGAACGTCTAGGGACTAGGTTGATTTTGTGATCCTGAGTGAACAATTGAGTGAACAGCGAAACAGATCAAACTCGTTTCCAGGGTTCTTCTATGAGTAGGAGACAGCCCTGGGAACGAGGTTGCTAAACAGATCCGTTGGATCATTTTTTCGATTTATAATACTAATGTTCCAACTCAGAGTTGCTCATTTGAATGAACACGGCCGAAAGCCCATGGCTTAAGTTCATGCACAAGAATTTTACCATGATACTTTGTCTGATAAATCTCTTTATACGATAAATATTTGAGGTTTTATGGATACCACTCTTCTAGCTTACTGGTCTATGTCTTTTTCTGCAGATATAGTATGTAAATAGTATTGCACTTTATCGTTGAAGTCACACTGAATGTTATTGTCCTGGTCTATCGAGACAGCGGATTCACCCAAAACAGGACTCATGTTAAACAACTCACGCGCAGACTCAGTTGGTGTTCTTTGCGTCTTTACGAGCATTGGACTGCCGCGAGTCTGATGTATCCGCGGTAACTTTTCTTGGTCAGCGGATGCGAGCGCTGGGCTTGCACCAATCGGAGTCGTGTGAAACTTGGTTCTGTTTTGCGGCTGCGCGCCGACGTATGATAGTTCGGTAAAAGTAAACCGCGGTGAGACAGGAGGTGAGGGCGACGATTTTTTTAAGTGTTCATCTGAGCCAGAGTTTATTACTGGACATGACCTGACACGTGACATGCCTTCCTTTACCTGTCTTGGACTAAGGTGTCTCCGTGGAATAATTGGACTTATTAGAGCCTCGGTTGGAGCGTCAGACAGAGTTCGCCTCCTGGTCGAAGTCATACGCGTAGGACTCGGGCTTGAAACTTTACGATTAATCATGCGCAATCCTGTCGGCCGTAAAACGAAGTTTTCGTCCAGACTCTCCTGAGATGAGCAATGAGAGAAGAATGGGGAGAGTGGCCGAGGATCCTCGCCTCTGACGTCATTATTTGATGCAGATATTCGCAGATTGGCTGTAAAATCAAAATAGCCATTGGTAGTGTCATAACTTAAAACTAACTGTCCCATCCACCCCTTCTATACAAGCCTTTTGTAAAGAAAACCATTTATAATATGTTTATCTTTAGATTCAAGATTCGTTTTGTAATACAATAAACATAGAAGTGACTTGTTTCAGCCGTGGAGGAGAATTCTCTTTGTAAAGTTTTCTATAACTGAACATTACAGGTCATCAAGACTTTGACAGTTATGGGCCTTTCATGACTTCTCTTAATGCTTCAAACTGAGCCGAATTAAAGTTTAAACTGATAAAATGTCATTGATTTCATAAGTTAACTCTATTGTATTCCTTATAATGAAAGGCTTTCGGATTTTGGAAATATTTCGGATCATGGACAACCCCTACTATGGTTTGGTTCAAATACCATTTCTAATTCAAAGTATATGAAAAAAATTACACTTCTTCAGTTTGACAATAGCGATATCTCTTGTTTGTAAACATAGTTTTTTGTTATTCAAACGTGCCAACCACTGACATAAACGAATCCATTGTCTCAAGAGCCAATGAGCCCCTGGTTGACGTAAATATCAATAGCTGACGTGAAGCGAAATATCGCTATTGTGCTGCTGAAACTGGGTCGAATAAAGACCGCGAGGACGCTGGTAACGAGACTGTCGCGTGTATAATGGAGTGGTTTCACCTGGCTTACAACTCGATTATAAATGGGTATAAAAGTATTAACTCTTGATAATTAATGTCACTGAACGTGGACAAACTCAAAATGGGATTCCATTAAAGTCTAATAAACCTTCATTAACACTGGAGTGTTTGAGTGTCCAATAGGTTGCCCTATCTGGCTTGATTTAATCATTTCAACTGTTAAACATTGTTATGAAAAGTCAATGCGGTTCACGGTTTACGTGCTCATTGATACAAAAACTGTATTCGCAAAGTCAATAATCGCCCATGCAGAATTAAGTAGGTACACAGCAGTTGGGAATATTTAATTGAGTTGATAAAGGTGCGAAGTGCGAACACTTAGATTTCATTTTTTAACTAAGATGAAAAACTTGACGACACTTCAGACATGAGAAGTTCACAACTCGTTCACACATCATTCTTTTGTATACATGCAGATGAATAACCTTTTGACAACAAGACATGTGAAATTTCATGGAAGGAAGCGAAAATTGTCTTGTAAAAACTGAAAGCGAAATAGTTAGTCACTGAGAAGGCAATGGAAGACAAAACGTAAACCTAAACATGAAACGCGTACACATTTCGAACTCCGGCTTTACTAACTGTCTTAGCTTGTGAAACATTACACAACTGACAAACTTTGTATACTCTACGTACTCACCAGTATTTGATAATTGCTCGCGACTGGAGAGCTTTGGTTCCCTGACGGACATCTTTCCTTCAAACACAGTTGGCAAACTGGAAAACAGTTCGGGATTCTCATAGTCATGTCTTTCGCTTTGAGTTATTCCTAACTGCGCGTCGTCTCTCATTGCTCTCGGGAAATTGGTATCAGACTTTTCAAGAGTAACGCCGTTAGCGCATATTTTCATTTTCCCAGATTGGATGCAACTGTGAGAGTTAAGCTCCATACAAGAAGTCAGTGCAAAGTCCCTTGTAGCTCCAGTAGAAGCGGAGATCTTGAATTCACCGTTGAATAAGTCAAGTTTTAGAACTTCCAATAAACTTGATTCACTGCGTTTTAGTACTGTACGAGAGACTAGCTCGAAAGCCTCGCACGATATCACTCAATCCTGTATTTACCTGCAAAGTATTCCAATTCATGACATCACCTAGTGGATGAGTTGCGCATTATTATGAAGCTCTAAGTAAACTGAAGGATTTAGCTATCCTTTGTTCTTCTCTTAAGAAAGGTTGTTCTTTTCAAGTTAGCAGCTATTCAAAATCTTATAAAGTGATTTTCCAGCCAATGAGGCTGCATTTGAAAAGCAGATGAAAATCAAACAAAACGAGGATGGTTCAGTAGCAATTTGTCTGTCTAGCCAGTTTGTTGTCTAGCACGCTGTAAAAAAGGTCGGGTAAAATAAACAGGGCTTTCACGGGTCCACAACACGCAATTTAGTCACGCATTTGAAAGAGGATTAAGGCTTTCACGTTTAAGTGTACTTCACTCAAAACTGCCAAACTTACGAGATTCATACAAAATCAACTATAATATGAGCAATAAAAATTTCGGGAGATGTTATCATTTCTTCAAATAATAGCCGAAAAAAAGTGGATCTCAGGTGACGTAATTAACAGCTTAAATAACCATGGTCCAAATGATCAGGGAACTCTTAATGCCATCTTTACGCGAGCCCTTCAAAGCGTCAAGTCTAAGGTGACTAAAGAGTAGCTTCTTCACTATAGAGACCGCTTTTCTACTTTTAAAACGCACAAACGCACGACTTCTATTAATGCCCACCTAATGAATTTATGAACCCTTATTTAAACAATTTGACAACCATTATGAAAAAAAACAACAAATCCCAGTTAACTTTGTCGTGAGTTGTTTCAAACTATTTTAACTTTCTACATGTAAAACTGTCACTGATATGGTTAGAATAGATAATTCCTTTATGATCTGTAAAAATTTATTTAACCTAAAAATGATTATATTTCATGTTAAATAGTCGAGCCCAACTTACTTATAAACCAAGAGATTTATCATTGTCTTTGTCATTAGTTAATCACGTAACCTAATCATAAAAACTTGAAACTATAGCTAAATGACTAAATAACTGTCAGAAATGGAAACGCATGTTATGGTTTAATATTGACGATTCCAGTTTTCAGGCCAGTGTCACCTAATGGTGAGATTTTGGGCAGGTTTATTTAATCCCTAACAAATTTAAAGGTTTTTTCATGGAGACGATAATTCCTTGTCACACAGTTGAAATTCTTATTATTAATATCTTTCGTTTTTATAGTGAAGACTAGAAAGAACTGACGTCAGTTGACGTGTTTTAAAGCCTGTTTACATGGAGACTAGTGAGCTTTCCTTAGGTAGCACATTTTAAAACTTTAAAAAGAGAAAGAAAAATTTGTCGAATGTCGAGTGATAACGTCCTTTAGAAAACGTCCCAAACTGAGTTTCACGTTGTAGTTGTGTAGCAGACTCGAACCCAGTCGCTATTTATGTGTTTTTGAGGTGAGAGAAAACTGGGGTTAGGTTGAGGCGCGTGGGGTGGGGAAGGAGCGAGGGGAAGGGCAGACGCATTTCCGGTCGTCGAGAAAATCCGAAAATCGACGACCGGAATGCGTCTCTGCCATGCAGTTGCTATTATTCTGTCGTCTCTTTCCACGACATCAAGCGCTCCTCAACCTAACCCCAATCTTCTCTCACCCGGGGTTTACTAAAGTGTTTTTAACGACTTCATAAGAAAAGAATTCTTAAACACTGATTTAAAGAAAACTTACGAGTGTTTCAATTTATTTCACGTAAAAACCCGAAAAACATTCACAGTAGTAGTGCTGAAAATCCTGCCGAATTTTCGTGATTGGTTGAGCCGTTTTGGGTTTTTATTATTTGTCATGGGTAATTCTTTTGTTCGTTTTCACGTATCCATGGAAACTTCCCCGAGGCAATTTCACCATGGTGAAATCGGTCACACACAAAACAATTGCTTCCCCATGGGCCAACACCATTTGCCCATCGGTAAAATTGCTAGTGTGACCGCACCTATTGTTTTTCTAACGTTCTCGTTGCCCTCGAGTCGTTGGATCTTAAAGTCCCTTATGTTTCCTGCGAAACAAGAGCAAGTGATGTCATTTGACGTTTTGACGTTACGTCACGTGGACACGCATGCGCGATGGAAAAGCAAACGGTTGCTCGCAGTAGCTTAGCGGCCGGGCCAGGAGAAACCATTGCTCGCAGGGTAAGAAATTGTAAATTTTAAGGAAAATTTTCCTGGAAAACGACGTTATGATCTTAGCTTGCAGCAAATGTTGAAATAAATGTGAACTGCTATACTAAAAAATGTTAATGTTCGCACATGCCTTCCGGGAGGCAATGGGCTTTATCAATCCTTAACTTATTATAGTAACCAGCATATCGGAGTATGTAATTTTCCTTTTTTAAACACTGCTTAATCCCACGATATTAATCACCAAAGGTTTTTAAAAAAGCTATTTTAAAAAAAGTATTAGAAAAAGGACTGAAACGCCAGGATATATGGAACTATATGAAGACCACTGTATCTTCTTGATGCCGAGCATAAAGCTCGACACTAACGCGAATTTTGGCGTGTATTATCCCATTTTTTCCGGTGGGCTGAAACAAATCCTGCAAATGCATCGTCACCGTAATTTATTGCAGGGATTTCATAGTACGATGAATTTTGAGAATACATCAGGAAACAGACCGGGGTGTAAAACGGATGTCAAAATTGCAAAGGCGGATCGAATAAAATTATCTTGATTAAAAAAAATTAGATTGACGTGATTTTGATGATGTCGCAAGAAATCAAGGCCCGAAATACGTAAAACTGCTGAGTAGCGCAGTGTAATGTGGCGTAAAATGTTACACAATTTTAAGAGTCATAATTTCACGTGCGCTATAAGAAATGGCTTGAGGGAGGAATAAATCCCAACTCAACCATCGACAGTTCCTCTTTTTTTTTTTTTTTTCAATAATTCAATTTCTATAGAACTAGTCTCCACGGTAAAAGGAATAATCTCCCTCAATCGGCTCTTGTCTCCATTTTCAGCAAAAAACCTTGGCTAACAGAAACAGGACGGGATATATTGTATCTAATCATCCTACTTGTGTTCGCGATTAATAAAATGCGAGGTTGTCCCAACAACCCCACCCCCTCCCAACAATATAGACGATGATTTTAGCTGTATTATCTGAAGTCTCGCACATATAATTGCATCGAGTGTAATTTAAACGATAAGCCGCAATGGTCAGTGAACTTTAATTCAATACTATGTTCATCTCTCTCACTTGTTGTTTTGGGCGGTTTTGGCCGGAGCTTTCTTGATGAGACTCTTGCTTGAACACGCTGACAATAGTAAATGATGAAGCCTCGGGGCTTTGACGGTCGAACAAGCATCGGTGTTAACCATAGTACAACAAAATAAATTTATGTCTAGACACAAACAGAAAACTGACCGAGCTAACCTACATTTTGCTAGGCGCGGCCACGATGTTTTTTCGGTCTCTCAATCCACAAGTAACGTCGCTTTTTCATTATAACAGTGTTTTTGCGCAACAAGGAAACTAATTAAAGCATTCTTTGATCACTTCGAGATTGTGACGTAAGTACCCGCATTACACAAAAGGAACGGGTCGTTTAATTGTTCAAACGCAAAAATAATTCTGTTAATAATTAGTCCCATGAGTAAAGCACCACTTTGGCTGTTTAGTTTATTGTTCATAAACAGAATATGCGGATGCGAATATCAAATAAATCTCTTAGTCATGACTCTTATCTGCATGACGGCCGATGAGACCGCACTGACCGATGTATTTAAATGCGCATTGGTGGACAGCTCTGTAAACTGCTGAAGTTATACAAACTGATCAGTTGCACCTGACGTGGCACAAAACCGACTTTTTAGGATGGAAAACATAAAGGTCATAGCGGCTAATCATAGAAAAGTAACTCTTCGGGAGATGAATCTTAGCCAAGGAGGAAATAATGTCCGTTGGCTAAACGATCGAGAAGAAAGACTTCTGCAAACTTCTTTACACTCTATGGAAAAAGCGCATAAGAGAGCGCTAAGTCGACTGCAAACTGAGGTCAAAGACCTGCACCATACGTTAAAAGAACAAGCAACAATTCGCTCACCACTACTAACAAAAGAAGCATATTTGTTAGACAAAGACGTCCTCGAATGGAAGAGGCCTGCAACTGCAGTAAGCACAAAGACTTTTAAACTCCACGATGAAAGCTTAGCGCAAAGTAAAACTGAAGAGGCAACAAGAAGTTCTGCAGAGGAAGTCAAACATTCGCCTTTGGAGCACATTACACTAGAGGGTGAGTTAACATGGACCACGTTTCTACAAGCTTATTAATAAGATCTAAATTCTGCATTATTATTCCATTATTTGCAATCGTTTGTATCGCCGACGTTTTAAGATGAAATGTGAAACACCTTTGTCGAGAAAAGAAGAAACAACGCGCATTTTAGTAGGATATAAGGACTAGCTATTTCGCTTCTTATTCGAATGTTAAGCGCGCAGAAAGGAAAAAGAATCTGCGAAAGTTTGATCATTTGTTCAGCGAGCGCACTTGACTGTTATTCTCAATCTGTGAGTCTGGAACATTTTTGTTATCTGAAAACAGACTTGCAGGAAATTGTGTATAAATGGGAAAGACGACAATGACGGGATTTCGAATAAAGATAACGGAGAAAAGTACCGTTAATCCATTTACATTCATATCCTTAAATAAAAGAAAAGAAAAGTAAGCATTTTTCCAGCCTGCGGACAAGGCAGTGTGACAATTGAGATAGAAAATATTGCTGGTAATGCGTCAAAAAACCACCACCAAAAAGTTAAGCAGACATACAGTAGTCATATATCCAGTGATATATTTCTTAACCTTAAAGTCTGTCATTTTAAAACAGTAAGATCTCTTGGTATGGAACACAACATTGAAAAGGAATTGCTCGAGGCGCCGGATCTGCCGGATTTCATAAGTATGCCATGCTCACGTTCGCGGTTTTTAAGCGCGGTGTTCAACGAAGCGCGCAAAGTCACGACTAGTACTTGCCTTTCTCTTCCAAAAGTGCACTGAAAAAGCCAAAAACCAAATTCATTGAAAATTTTCGAATAGACTTTTTACTTATTTCACTTCACCAAGCACACAAAAAAAACGGCAAAAAGGCTTCAGGCAGAGGCTTGCGGAAGCCTGAGTCAGTGCTTTTTTTCACAAGAACGCAGGAAAGGTCAATTACATTCTGTAACGTCTTGAAAAACAAATAGTACCATGTTTAAGCATTGCTAAAACGGATTCATTTGAATGGTCACGCTATTAGATCTCTTTTAAACACCTCAAACCAAACTTTGATTACACATTTTCAGTGATTTAGGAGATTAAGTGGTTATTAAAAAGAATAAAAAATGAAGCGAAAAAAGTGGTGGCTAAAACTAATTGACTGCACTGCGTTTGAGGTGATTACTCTGGTAGGTAGAAAGTTTGTCCTGACTCATGTGCCCTGAGGGCACAATTACAGATATTTTAAACAGAACATATTTTGAATTACAAGGCAAACAAAACATTAAGATCAAACATTTACGGTCTATCCAAATCTTTTCATTCTCCGCGAACCAAAAAGTCCTATTCATTTTAGCCTGTTCCATGCTCCAAGATCAGTAATGTATCAAAATGTGCACAGATCTTAAAAAAACTGATACGAAAACTGACGCACGGGCGCTGATCATGCCTGAGTGCCTTGTTTTCAGTTAACCCCTTTACTATCTGGGAGACTGGCAAAGGCTATAATTATTTTAAAAACTGCTTCGACTGGCTGAAAGTTGAAAAAGCACCCTATCCATTTTACTGAGCTGGATATCGCAAAAGACAGCTCGCCTCAAATCATTGAGTGGTGGACCATTGGCGAATGCTTTGTTGAATGCATAAAGTCTATGACCACTTCAAAGCTGTTACGGGTATTTTACTCAAATTTCAGTTTCTTGCAGCTTTGTAATGAGTTCACTTCATTTGCGGAGATGGGACATACTGTAAGCGTGTTTTACGGAGACGTGATTTACCAACAAAATAAATAGTGAGGAGTAAATATGGATGTCGCGTGCTTCTTGTTTAACTAATTCGTTTAATTTGTCGGTTGAGTCACTCAATATCATTATCTCTTATTCACGCAATAAGTTTCTTCTAAGAGCCAATATCTCCTGTCAGGTTCAGTTAATTTATACTCTATAATTACTACAGTTGTGACTTTGCAGATTATAACCAACCTTAATTGTCCTTATAACAGATATAAACAGCCTCAACCAGCAAATGACCAGGAGAAGCTCAAGAAAGACGGAAAAACAACCTGAAATGGCTTGGACAAGAAAGCTGTCATCGGCCCAAAAACGACCGCTATCAAAGCACTTATCGAACTCATCCGACAACTCTTCGTCTTCAACGAATGGTGCCTCGGGACATCGTCGTAAAATTTCCGTCGCCGATCCACCTACAATAAGCGTTGAACTGAGTCCTCAGTTAAGGAGGACGTCTAGTCAAAGCTCGCTTCAGATCAACCCTAACACCGTATTCAACCGCGGTAAAACGCGATCTGCCGAGATGATAAACGGCACTTCAGTATATCACAACACGGGAAACGCCATCAACGATCCTTTTCCACCGAGGCTGAGAAAAGTTTCGGCTCAGTCCATGAATCACGTTGCAAGTCCCCTATTTTTCAGAAGAAAAATTTCCCAACAGCACGCAACACGCAGCTCATCGCCTTCACGAGGAGTCCGAAAAATCTCCTGTCCCCCTAACTTACAGCATACTCCCATAATGCAACAGGAGGAAATAATACCTCTGCAGTTATCACGTGACAGCAGCGTGACATCCTCACGAGTGACTGTAACCATGACTACCGATCTTCCTAAGCTGGAAATGCCACATAGGATAGAGCAGATATCGCCTGGCTGTGAAGGCAATGTTAGTCCGCTAGGACTTCATGCCAGTGGCATGGACTGTACCCTCCAAGAAAAAGTCAATAACTTTCTTAGGAGTTTGGAGAGAAATGACAACATTCATGAACAGGACGAAAATAGGGCTGAAAAGCAGTAATAATAATTATTTGTTTTCGAAAAATTAGCTTTACTGTTGATATTTGGAAGGAACGAAAGGAAAAATTTCAGTACAGGTATTTCTAGTGTCTTTAAAAATGGGGCATCATAAAAAGTTGTAAATAGTATTTTTTAAACTGGTTAAATGTTGCCTCGTGTGGACCACTACTCTGATAAAGAGAAATAAAACCAAGACCAAGACCATATACTTGCTTGTTTAATCGGTTCCTCCACCACAAAACTCAACACCACGAAAACTGATCTTGGTAGAAATTCGGTGATCCCGTACAACAACCTGCTGAGCCATTAGAATGCTGCAGGACTAGAACTTGACGGGTCAATCTTTGGCATTACACTCTCTATATAACTTAAATTTACATCCAATTGATTTAAATACAGTCGACTCCCGATAATTCGAACCTTCAAGGGAAATAGAAAAAAGTTCGAGTTATCGGCAGTTCGAGTTATCGAGGGTAAAATTACATAGAAAACGATCTGAAGGGAAATGTAAATTGCTTCGAGTTAGCGGGAGGTTCGAGTTATAGAGGGTCCGAGTTACCGGGATTCGACTGTACACTTTTTATTTTATTTAATTCCCTTTGGCATTACACTCTCTATATAACTTAATTTTACATCCAATAGATTTAAATACACTTTTTATTTGTGTGATAAAAATAATTTAATAAGTCACCGCACGTATAGCGTCATTGTATGTTAATATCTGCGGTTTGTAAGCATTATTACTGTCCAGGATTGGAAAGCTATTTATCGTTTAGGTTTCGGAGAAAGTGACCACCTACCCCTCCCCTAAGCCCACACTGACACTTACTTCTCACTTAGGGCACAATATTGGCTTAGGCGGGGGTAGGTGGTCCGTTTCCCAGGAATCTTTATTCATCCAATAATTCCTATCTCTTCCCCCATCTTTACCCGCAATGTTGTTTTCAGGGTAAAGAAGTATACGAAAATGGTCTAAAACTGTTGAGGGGGGAGAGGGTGGGGAATATCATTTTCATGGATTATACTGGACTTTAAAGGAGCCAGCGCTGCAAGCTGGGAAGGGGTGGGAAGTCTCTGTTGCAGCTCACATTTCACAGGGTAAGAGTACAGATCATTGTTTCATCGACAGGTGAATAACGACAATAAACCAAACAGTTCTCCCAGTTTTGGATAGTGATTACGGCTAGAAGACATTTCTTGTCCTCTTAATTTTGGAGTTAACCCTCTGATCCGTGCTCTGATGATTTGTTGAATGTGAGCTGTGACTCTAAGTCGTTCAAAACAAAGTCGTTTCGATACAAACTTAAGCAGTGAAACTGCACAACAATTTCGATAAAGTATAGTTAGCGCAAGAACAAAAAAACATATGGCGTGAATATCTCTCGGTCTATAAACAAACTACACAAAACTATTTATACCTAGACTGAATCTACTTGTATCGAAAGGACTTGTATCAAACAACTTTGTGTCGAAACGACCAGTAAGCGTAACAAACACCTTACACAAGAAACCTAGGTTTCTCTCGGGCAGATGTTAAAGCTCATCCTTAACTTGTCCTTGAGGATTAATGAGCTGCTCAATGGTCATCTTCTTGGTTTCTTCGTAAAATTCTTTCTTTTTCTGCCGATATTTTTCCAGTTGTTCCTCAATATACTCAGTGGGTCGGCCGGGGCCGATCTCTTCGTCATCTGACATTTCTTCCATCAACTCGTAAACAACTGGATCGTCGACATTTTCTTCATTGTCGCTACTCAGATATTCCAGAGTTTCACGTAAGGCCTTGGAAATTGCAAGCCGATAAGTACGGGAGATCTGCATGTTTAATGACAAATTTAGCCGAGAAGTCGTTGACCGTGACAGAGACGTAAGATAATTTTTATTGTCACTAGAAATCATTATGTGACGATTTTCTGGCACAAACAACGAGCTTTAGGCGCCCATTTTTCCTTCAGATTGATCTTCTTTTTTAACTAGGGTGTGATGAAGAATTCTAGTCGCCAATTCGGCTATCAATTTACAGAATTTGATTGCCTTAATGCCAAAAAAATGAAGGCCTAATTTCATGTTGGGTAGAACACGTCTTGAATCACTTTTGTGACGAGCAAAGTAGGAAAAATGAAGCCCTACTTTTCACAATCCATCCGTTTACAACGCTGCAACAAATAGTTCACTCCTTGCAAGAAAAACTGCAAGGGGGAGGTGGGGCGGGGGGTTACACTAAATGTCTCGAGCAACTACCATCCGAGCAGAGGTTTCTTTTTTGAATGGCTCAGTTCAGCGTTTAGGAAGTCAGTCACGAACGAATTAGTAAACGCTAAAAAGCCATGCTGGAAAGAAACCTCTGCTCGCAGAATAAAATCACAAAACAAGTTTCAAGAAAAATTGACCCGTGCAAAAAGAAGCTGTGTCACGTTGGCAACTGCCACTAAATTGACCGAAACAAAACATTAAAAGAAGTTATAAATAACACAGCAATACAAAAAAAGACACGGATGGATAAACTTGAAGAAGATTAATACGGATTGCAATTGTTGGTTTTTGAAAACTATCTTGGTAAACAGTCTTTCAAAGTTCATTTTCATTGATTGTAACGTTTGATATGATCTGACATAATGCTTGCGAACATTCGACTCGAACCTGTGGTTTTGTCATTCACAAGTAATTCCTTAAGTTCCATATCGAACAAAGACGCGTAATTGGCATTATTAACAAAACAGATTTGACAGTCGTGATAGAGCCCCTTTAAATATTACTTAATCTTCACTCACCTTGCATGCAAAAGTATATCGCGCTCCACTGAAGCCAGGGCTTGGTGGCCTAGCAGAATGAGGGATGATACCGCGGAATATCACAATTCTGCCATACCGCGGGCGCACAGATGCAATCCACTCGTACTGCTGTTTGCCTGGAGGGAATGGCTGGCCGTCTTTGGATAAAATTTCTTCAAAAAATGCTGTTTCTCCATAGTTGTTTGCCTCCCAGTCTGGTGTAAGGTACATCAAAAATGTGTATTCATGCTGAAAGGTTAATAATTACTGTTAGCATAATAGCAATAACAATAACGGTAATGATAGCGGAGCTCCATGTGCGTGCAAAGCGCGCGTGGGCGGAGCCCTATAGCTTAGTAAATCTACCCATCCCAGAAAATTTGGTAATCACGTGACCGTACACCGACCGCCCGACCGCCCGCCCGACCGTCCGTCCGCACCACAGGAAAACCAATGTCTACTTTCACACTTTCTAACTACTTTGGAAGCCTAGGAGGAAACTGATTGCACATCAATGTTGTGATCAATTGACAGCTTTCAAAACAAGTATCCGCTGACCAGTATCACCTGACCGTATCGCAGGCTCAGGTGTCGACCCATCGAGTTCGAGTCCTTTTTTGAAGTTATCCGCTGACAAATTACTGGTTTTCAATTGATAGCAAGCTCAAGTTTTTTTTTTTAAATTTATAATGATGATAACGATAATAATGATGATAATGATAACGATAAGGATAAGGATGATGATGATGATGATGATGATAATGATAATAACAATATTATTATAATTATAAATGATTGCAAACACAAGTTAAACTACCTTCCGTGTATGCTATTACAGCCCCTAAAGAGACAACCCTATAAAAACGATATAGCACTTTCTATAACTTTAGATTCTACTTTAAATAAGCACCACCCTTGAATACATGCTGCACTGGTAAGTCAAAGAATTTATTGAGCACTGCTGGTGTTTTTTCAAGTATATAATATGGAGACATAGTCCTAACTTTTCAATTATCTGTCAGTGAGTGTGTAAGAACCTATGGTGTGACCTTGCAAATGAAAATACTTTGGAAGATCTTTCAGTTATAAACAGCTTTTCAGGCTTGTTGTTTGGTCAGTTTGTGGTTTCTCTTAACACCTGCTTGACTCTAAGCTATCTAAGAGTGCTTTCCATTTGTCAGAACAGGCCAGCCATACCATTCCTGTCATAATGAGAATTTCACTTTTAATCACTGTCCAGCCAGATTGGTCAATGCTGGAATAATATGCATTGGATTGATGTGGTTTTTTTTTAGCAAAACTCCTAAAAAAGAGCCAGTTCTGACTTCTGGAAAGCGCATTAAGACTTAACTAATGGTTTTCAAGCTTAAGTCATTTTAAGGAGAGTTATACATAGAGAAATATTGGAACTTTGGCAACTTTTAGGACAATGATACGCAAGAAGGATGTAACATCATTTCTCAAAGGATGTGGGAGTGAATGCCGCATATCCTTAGGTTAACTGGACGTACGCATAATCACTTATTCATTTTAGCGTCTGAGCTCGTATATGCATTTAGTTTTTATATTGTAAATTTAGAACTTAGCTTCAAAGTGTTAAAGAGTAAATTTAGAACCTAGTTTCACAGTGTAAAAGAGTACTTAGCTTGAATTGTGTTAATTTCGGGCGTTTTTATGTGTTTTATAGTATTTAATTAGTTTCTTTTAATGATATAATTTAGTTTTAAAGGTGTCCCCAATTAGTGCCAATAGGCACTACAACGATTAGACACATTAATAAAGGTTATGTATGTATGTACGTCTACCTCATTTGGCATACAATCTTCGTGAATCCTAGGATAGTGTGAATTTCTGATGATGTTCATTGATACGTCATATGGATACCACTCATCCAGACCACTTAGATATGTTGCCAACTGCTTCACAAGCCTCCACAGGCGACTTTTGATAAAATCTTTCACCTGTAGACAGAACATGAACCAGTCTATTATTAGCCTAAGAAAACAAACTAACATTTTGCAATGCTATCACTGCTTTTCCCATTTAATGCATTTCAGAAATGACAGCAACAATGCCATACCGATGGTGTGTCACTACCCAGATCTGGGTTGTGCTTCTGATTGGTTGTAGTGAATTTCTCTTCCGGTATGACCAATCAGAAGCACTACCCAGATCTGGGTAGTGACATGTCGTCAGCATGGAATATCTGGACTCATCCTTCAGACATCATTTTGCCGGGAAACCAGTGCTGCTGTTTTCTCAGGCTAGTCCATTATGAAATGCTGTGGGAAGGCTGTACAGATAAACTGATTCACTGGGATTGTGGTAGGTCAGGTCCAAACTCCATAATTAGCAAGGAAGTGAGTGAGCAAAGTTGGACCATCTAAAATATCATGCTTTCATGGCTGGATCAAAATTCAAATAATATCATTGAATTTACCACCTTCCTGTGGTATCGGGTCTTCCCTCCCACTGCCGCCATGTTAGAAAACAAGAAGACCCTGGGAATGAGGTAAGATAGGTTGATAAAAAAGCAGATTAACCTTCCTTCACCCTACTGCGATAAAAAAACACAACAGAGCAGAACAAAACAACAACATCAACAACAAACAAACCAAAAATACACTACATAAGTCATGGAACATCCACATGAAAATTACTATTACTCTACAGCCCATCAAATGAAAAATAATCCTGATTTTGTCAAAATAAAGTACGAAAACCTTAATCATGGCAATCCAAGACACATTATCATGTTCCTCATCATGACCATCGTATGGTTGGTATGCGTAAACACTGTTATACTGTAGCAAAAAGAGTCTTAAAGCATCAAGATCTGCTTTGTCCACTAATCCATCAAACACTGCAATCTCTCTTCCTTTACTGTCATGAAATCTCCTAATTTCATGTTTGCTGACATCCTCTGGGGAGATCTCTTTCTTGTCTGACATTGCAAATCCTAGCATTTCTTGCTTTTCTGCTTTTTGTATCAGCCTCTGTTAAGAGGAAAACAAGAAGAGCTAATAAGAAGAGCTGGTTTTCCAAAGAAAAAGATGTTGCTTTTAAAATTAATACTTATTAAATGTTTTTAAAAAAGTAATTTTACTAGACTAGGGTTGAGTTCTTCAAAAGATGGTTGATTTTAACCCATGGTAAGTCAGATTTTACGCAAATCACTAAATACCTTTGTTTCTGTTATTTTCTGGTCTGCTTTTTCTTTCGATATTGTTAATCTCACTATAACATCAAACTGGGCTTGAACGTATGTCATAGCAGGAGGCTTAAAGATGAACGGAATTGAAGCATTCCACACAATCATGCGTCCCATTCTTGGATAAACCGCAGCAAGGATTTCACCATCATCTTTGTAAAATACTGTCTCTCCATAATCATTTTTCCTGAAATCCTTGTTTAGAGATATCTTGACAACAAGATCATCCTTATAGATGTTGGCTTCTGTAAATGATAAAAAATATGTTGTTAATTTATAGCAGTTAATGCTCTCTCCACGGCAGATTAGCCTCTTTGTGTCGCAGGAGGCTAGGGAGAGGGAAAAAAGAAAGCGCACGAGACGATGAGAAGGGGTAAGAGAGGAAGCACTTCCCATTACATTATTCCCTGCGCTCTTGCTATTTTTTGGGGGGTACCCAGCAGGAGCCTCTGTGGAGGAGAAGAGAGGAGTGGATGTGAGTAATTTCTCCAGGATCAAATGAAGCCATACACTGGGCAGGAAAAGGCTTTCATTGTTTTATCTCTTATCTGTTCTTGCTCAATTTTTTGATGTTTTTCCAGTTCTTAACAAGAGGTCTATATAAACAGGAATTTAAATCCTGAGTCAATATTTTCTTAGCTACAACAAAAAATGAAAATATTGTACAGCATATTAGCTTGGTTGTTGGCTAGAAAAATGGATTATAATGAGTAATAATTTATAGGCATAATTATTGATAGAGGGAGTCCAAACTCGTGCACACAGTTGAAAGTCCCCTTCTTGATGCACCTAAAGCACATCTGCTCAGGTTCTCAGGTTTTTTCTCAAGTATTTATTGATAGAAATAAATTTGTGCATATCTTGTAAGAATAAAATATTATTAATTTTCTTGTCCAAAGGTTGCATTTAGGGAAGGGGGAAGGGGAAAGAGGGATTTGGACCCTTCAGACCCATCCCCTGGATCTCAACATTATAAGGAGAAATTCAATGCTGATCACTTTTTGGGTTAAAGCAAGTAACATAAGACTATGGGCCCTGTTTTACAGAAGGATCAAATCAAAAGGGACAATCATTAGTTTTAAAAACTACAGCAAAAATCAGACATTTGAATGGAAGATATTAAAAGAAAGAATATCAGCCCTCTAATATCTCTGGATATTGGAATCAGATTTATTCGACGATAAGCACTCCAGGACAACCAATATTTTTGAAAAGTATTTTCCCATCCAACAGCTGTTTCTTTTTTCAGTTACCACCTACTTAAGCCAAGGGAAATAAATAACCTTAAATTACAAGTAAAACAACAAACTGTTAACTTTTGAGCGCAAATTGTAAATAAAACGTCCAGTCAACATGTACGAAGCTTGATCTCTGAGTAGCCTCGTCAAACACAACTCAGTACAACCTGATCTTAGCTAGACTTGCTGCAGTATTCGTCTTGAAATAAAAACACAATACAATACGAAAATAAATATTAATGTTACCTTTACTTGTAGCAGTTATAAAATCCAGCCTGCGCTGCATAGAGAAACACACATCATACGGAAAATACTTCTTTCCTCCAGAAAACTTTTCGACAACAGTTCGGGTTATATTCCACAAAGATGTACTGGTGAAAAATTCTGGGTTCACAGGAGCAATCCATGGAGAGTTAGTCGAGGAATTAAGTGTACCAAAGTTCTGGTAATAATCACTGTAAGTGTAAAACCAAGAAGAAATTTTCCCAGATATTTTACCAGCAGTAACAAGGTCGAAATACGCACTGATAACTTTTGGCGGAAAAAGTTGATCGAAGATAAATACACCTTTGTCGCCGTCTTGGAATGATTGCGTTTGCTCTGCTGGTTTTGATTGCCCAGAAAGACACGAAAACGAAAGAAAACCCAAAATAAATACCAGTTCATACATCACGGAAGCAATTCAAAAACCAGGTTAGTGTTGACCTTTCCAAGATTTCCCCTTCTCATTCTTGATTTCTGAGCAAAAAGTCGTAAACCAATCACAGTTCATGTAAGAATAGCTATTAAGAACCAACCAATCCGCATTCGCATTATTTCGTCTTGTTCCCAGGATCCTCTCGGTTTAGCAATTATCAGTTCCAATTTCGTTTATTTTTGTTCAATCTGCGCACTTCGATTTGCATAGTTACAAATTTAGCTGTAAAGCTACTGTGCATCTCATAGACTTCGTGCGAATTGAATGGCTTTTTGTTGATATTTCTAGTAGCAGTGCGCGAATGTCTAACTTCTGTAAAAAGGTATCATAAACAGATTAAACGCCATTAATTCCTCGGCTCTGTCATTAGCAGTCATTTGTTGTTAGTTCCAACACAGGCGGCCCAGACGTAGTTAGCCTGCGAACCGCAGACGCTTTTCCGGTCGTCGCTTCTCTCCCTCCGAAAAATATTTTTCGGAGGGAGAGAATTACTTACTTTATAATACGTTGTGCAAACTGGTGAAGGAGGACGAGAATTTTCCGCCCAGGAAAAAGGCAAAATCTGGCCCCCGCTAGGCAGCTGAATAGAAGATACAGCTGAAGATATCGTAAAGTAAAATTTATGTGCGCGATATCTTTTATTATTATTATTATTATTCTCAAAATTCAGGGGCACCCAACGACGATTTCCCCCTAAATGCATTGAAAACACATTTAAGGCTGTCCAGGGTACTTTTGATCGAAAAATGCATTCTAAACAGCGCTTACATAAATTTAGTCAGGAGGGCTAAAACCGAAGCTAATGATTTATAGTTTGCTCATACTAAATATAAAATATATCGTGTAATGCTAAGCGGAGAAGGCAACGAGACAGGGCCACCCAACGGCTGTTTCCTCAAATACTTTCAATTGAAAACACTTTTGTAGCTATTCATAAAGTACTTTTAGCTCTATAGAAATGCATTCTAAGTGGCGCTATAAAATTTGCATCTCAGTGTTCGGCCATTCTAGAGGAACTTGAGTCTTTTCGAAATTACGAGGAATTCAGAATTATTTTCCCGAAAATTTTAGATGCAATTTAACGTATTACGAAGGAGATAATTTTTCAGATACCTTCTTTCATCACATTTTTGAATCCGAAAATTTTAGGATTCCATTTTACTCTCTACGAAAAATAGCCTAACCCGGTGAGTGAAATGTGAAAAATTAAAAGTTGGATGCCCTTGACCAGAACTGTGAAAAACAACAATAGGTCTAATTGCAGCACACTTTCTTGTACATTTCCTTGCCGTTGATTTGCATGACTGCAACGTGAAACGTCCGGAAAACTTCCTGGTTTCCACTTTTTATGGAGAAAATCTGGTCAGATGTTCTTGTTCACTTTTTACACTGCCGCTCAATTTTTTTAGCTCCGCTATAAGATTCGTATCTGTTCGGTGCTCCTAGGGCAAATTGGATCTTTTTAAAAATTACAAGGGCTTCAATATTATTTTCCCGATTGATTGACCTAGAAGCAATAGTACCATCCCTCCCATAGCAAGTGCTGCATTGTTGCGCGAACGCGGTCGCTAAGCTTGAATATTCACGTCGCGTATTATACCTGGTCGTTTGCGGTCATATCGAAGCGTAAAGGTCAACAGTGGTTATTGATGAGCGAGCAATTATTGTGCAGTTGCGATGGGTTTTGTGGAGCAAGCGAGCCAGAAGCAGGAGCACACGTTACCTGCAGATTAGCCGATGGTTATTTGGAGCGGATTCATCGATTATTCTCGAATTTATAGCGCTGCGTGTGAAGGCGCGTGGAGATGGTCTCTTTGTTTTGTAGCCAGCCTTTAATTCTTCTTTAGTGGATAGTACCTACAATTGCAAAACTCAACAAAATGCCACTTAAACCGGCCAGGAAAGACAAGGATACGTTCAGTTGAAGGTATCTTAGCTTTGTTTTGTTATATTTTGACTTTTGGACTATTTTAGTCCATGGGAGTTTCGACGACTCATCGCTTGTCCCGGAATATTAATATATTCATTCAGTGACACATACTACGTCTGGGCCGCCTGTGGTTCCAAGAGGGCGCATCTTCTTTTCAATGGTGGGGCATTTGTTACCAAAGGTCTACCGGCTACTACCCTGAAACCAGAGTATTTCTCTCGCGTGAAGACGGATACTCCGGTGTTTTAAAGTTCAGGTAAGGGACCTTTTATAGGGATAACCAGGCGGTCCACCTTTTAAAATATGTATCATGTTTATGTGCATATATGTATTTGAATAAAGTATTATCACGTGGCATCGGAGTTTTCAACAGGCCGTACAGGGTTTGAACACAAAATGGGAGGTCAATTTCTATTATTTTGTGTGGTGGACAGGTAGGTAGTCTACTACACAGCCGTTTCTGTTTTGCAGTCTAACTCTTGGAGGGTCAGCCTGTGAGAATAACCGACATTTCGCGAGGCCACTACTGGTTTCCCAGTGGTGGCGTTGCGAAACGTCGGCTTTTTTCTCAGGCCACTCGAGGGTCTATTTCCTAGGCTCGATTTCCGCCGTCTCCCGGGTCCGGTCTTTGATCCTCCCCGAAGATGAGCGAGGGCTCATTTTCCCGCTGGTAATCGAGCCTACTATTTTCCTAGCTTTCTTAACGATTGTTCGCGGTGCTAGGACGGCGTAAAACAGTACGAAGACTCAAGATCAATGGAAATAACCATCAACATAAACACTTTTACTTCCCATCATGCCTGCATGTTCCATACTTAACACTACCTACTCCCGCCAGCGAAGGACAGGGCTCTTGAGCCTTCTCATTCTTCGCTCGAAACCCCACTTGATGATTATCCACTATGTGATCATCTAAAAAACAATTCAAAATTCTGGGCACTCACTATATGACAATATTAAAAATAGTACTATGTTAAGCATCGTCTTTCATCCTTAACGTATTAGTTATAATTTCCTGTAGAATTTTACATTACTTAATTTTACTAAAATAATCTAACATTTCATCTTAGAGACTAAGATACTACTCTTACAAAAAAAAAATCTAGCAAATGCAAGAGATATCAGGGCATAAGCACATAAGGTAACTTGCGTTTTCGTGAAGCTGAGCTTAAGCCAGCATTTGCATTAAAGAAAGAAATACAGGTGAGAAATGAGCAAAAACAAATAGCAAAAGTGAGCAAGTCTCTTAATAGAGACGAAATATCTAGACGCCTCGAAAAAGGTTCATGAGATTGGTATTTATCGTACCTCAAGAACGAATAAAAGCTCAAATTTTTCTTCCCCAAATAATTAACATCATAGCGAAAAATTGTGAGAAACAACCGCGAGTAACACAAAACGCGATTTTTGACATGATTAGGGCTCACTATTTTCTAAGTCCTCACTTGACTGTCAAGTTGTTAAGTTACCAGGTAAAATAAATGAGATTTTGTCTAGTAATACTGATTGAATATGTAATCAGTGCCCTCAAGGAAATGCGTGCCCAGTTATTCATCACATTTTCTTAAAATGTGAGCCTATTGGCCTTCTTTGCAATGTCAGCGACACACTTAGCCTGCGCCACAGACAGAACTTAACTCTGGTTAAGTTCGTCTGCGAATCAGCGAAATCCTTGTTCTGGGTCCTCACCTGCGTACCAGGATTTGAGTAGGCGCCATGATTGGCCTGTTAAAAAATACATTGTCGATTTGCCAATCAGGACGCACATTCAGTGATACGTTGAGTCCGTTGGGGGCCAAGAACAGGGATATGGGGGCTGCTTCGCAGATGTTTACTAACCGAGGTTAAATCACGCCTGCGACGCAGGCTACGACACAATTAACCCATTTAGTCTACAGAATCAAGAGAAAAGAGAATTGACGAAAATCAAATTCAAAATCGTTAAATTGAGAGAAACATAAAAATAACCGCTTAAAACTTTAAAGGAAGGTTGAATGACATAACAGAAACAACACATGCAACGGATGGGCAAACTGAAGAACACTGAAACGGATTGAAATTAGAGTTTTTGACAACTGTTCAGCCCAACAGGTTTTCAAAGTTGATCCCTGCTACTTGCAACTTCAAAAATAATGCTCAGGAGACATACTTGTTTGTCTCGGATCTCTGATTTTATCATTTACCTGTAATTTCTTTGCTTATTTTAAGTTCCATAGCGATTGAGGGCGAGTAATTGGCAAAACTAAACAAAATGAACTGGACTACCGTGACACAGCCCCTTTAACGAAATGATCACCTTGGAGAAAAATTAATGCTTTGATCTTCTACCAAATTCTCTCAACTCATTCTTTAAGGACACGTATATAGACGAGCTTGAAGAATTTGTATGTGGATCTTAATTCATCAAAAATAATCCACTGCGCCGGTATCGCGAGGAACAACTTACAAAAAAATCGAGTTTTGTATTACGAAAACTTTCCTGTAGTAGTGTTGTTCATTATATTAATAATAAAATATTCTTTTTTTTTCTTTTCTGTTAAATGAGTTGATTCAAGGGTCTATAAAGGAGACCATGATGTATCGCTTTCCCCAGGTGACCGGTAATCCTTCATGGTAATGTGTTAACCGGCCAGGATGCATAAAAGACCAACCAATCCGTGTCTCGGTCACTTGACAGTTGTAACGTATAAATCTACAGCCTCCGCCCTGCAGAGAAGACAAATAGGAATTGAGGTCCCCTGGGTGTTAAAGTTGACTTGACCAGGGGTAGGTGGGCAGTTACCCCTATCTTTTTCACCTAATATAATGTGTTTCATAAATCTTTTGGCGAAAAGCAGAAGGAAACCAGTACATTCAATGACTAGAAAGATGGGGAATAAACGTGGACAAAGGACCAACTTTTGTCGACGGGAAGCAAAGAGGAGGCAGTTTTACCGTTCAAGTTAAACCTAATTGATCAAACTTTCCATTGATTTTCTAACAATTAATGGGTCAGACAAATATTCATCAGTCAGTAACTGGTCAGCCGTGGAAAGTTTTGTTATAGGGGATGTACTTCTGAAAGGAACTATCGCTGAACAGGGGGTTTAAGATGTCACGACGGCCACAGCGACAGCGACGAGAACGTCAAAGACGCAATGGGTTTAGATTAGAGAGCTTTAGATTCGAGGAAGAGATTTGAATTAAAGTTTTCTCGCGTATTCTAAAAAATAGACAACCCGGAAAGCTTCACTGCACTTTTTTTGCACCTGAAAAGTTACAACTGTTATCCGTATTGATGGAGATTAAGACCTCTCCCAAAGGCAAAAAGATAAAAGTTATGACATTCGATAACTTGTTTCCCCCACTACAACATTCTCGCAAAAACTCGTCGGTAGAATGACGACGGCTACCACGTTTTCCCGCCAAATGACGTTGGTTCACGCGCGTACACTACTTAGTACTGAGAAAATCTCGTACTTGTAGTCATCCTCGTCTTAGAATCTAAACCTCTCTTTTAACAAAACGACAACTTTGCACGAGCACCAAACGTTTTGGTACATTTTTTCATGTTTCATTGCAGTCACTGCGCGACTACGACGTCAAATTGCCTAATTTCACGTTTTCTCGATAATGCATTAACTTTACTGTTCTTACTCCGTAATCGATGCCTGGTCTTGACAGAGCCATGTTGATAGTGTACGTTGAAGAATCATGATGCGGTCTTAAGTAATACTGCCTGTTGGGATCGTATTTTACAACAAAATTCATGATAGCACGACCCTGCAAATAAACAAAAAAAAACCTACAGTTATATATCAGGATCCTAGGGACTGGCTTTTATAACTAAGTAGCTGGGCTCTCTCAAAGGGCTTTTTAGACCTCATTATAATACCAAAATTAATGATAAAATATCGTTGGGGTGGGCGCGCTTTTTGAGAACGGTTAATCCGCGAGGGGAAGGGAGACAAGGCTTCTGCACTCGTTGCGCGCGCGCTTCTCAACAAAACCGCCAGCTACGCATTCGCAGCTGATGCCCTAACTTCGCGCGTCTCGCGTCCCCGCGCCTCACGTGGTGGGCCTGATACCACACTATATTCTACTATAAGAAAAATAAGGGGCTGATTGCTGTTCAGTCTATTCTAACAAAGCATGGAAAGCAATTAATTCTTACCTCAGAATGGTAGCCAGGGAAAATCCTGCCGTTCACAGGTACAATATATTGTTTGAGGAAGTGAAGCCACTCTCGCTCAAAATTGATCTGTGTAGAAACAAGAAAAGAGTTAAGAAGTATACTCCGAGATCACAGTTTATAACGTGGCATAAGGATTTGGCCGTGTATTAACCGGGTAGCCGTATCATCGGGCAAGGTGCTGAGTCATATTTCGTGGCTATTGCATGAGCAGGGCTTGAAAAAAACTTGAATTCCAGCTAGTCCTATGGGCAAGCACCTCTCTCCTTTTCCTTGCCCAGGCCAGGTGATGTCCACTTCTTACTGGTCTTAGAAAATGATTTAGTCAGAGGATGATGAATTGCCTGGACCCTTAACCATTAGACCCGGGGGGGGGGGGGGGGCATACTTCCTTATAAGAGGCTAATGGGGATGTGCCGCTGGATGGGATCGCATTTTCACGACTGGACTGACTATAATGGGGTCGCATTTTCAATAGAGTTACTAGAATGAGGTTGCACATTTTCGGATTTTTTGGGGTAAGACAGTTCTTCATTTTTTACGGTTGGCGAACGTATTAAAATGTTTGTACTGTAGGTGAAAAATAAAGTGTTCTTCATTCCACTTAAAAAATGGATCTATACATAAAAATAGGAAGTGATTCAGGTGGGATCGCGAAAATAACATATTTGCCCAAAAGTAACTAAGGTAGGGACTATAATTGGCCACAGAGTAGACTATAATGGGGTAGAGGCTCTGAGAGGCCAGCGGCACATACCCAGCAAAAATTAACCCAAGTACCCCCCTCCCCCCCCGCCCCGGTCATTAGACAAGCAAGCTTTAAAAGTTACTTGCCCAGCAAGAAAATCTATTTGTCCCGGCGGGACGACCGGACGGAAGTTTTTTCGAGCCCTACTGAATTTGCAAAGAAAAATTTGATTTTTTTAAAAGTGAATATTAAAGAAAATTGATTCGTCACCTGGTTCATGTGTATGTCGTCAGTGGGTACATTCTCATAGCCTCCTGACAATCGCTTATCCTAAAATTAAACATTGGATGTCATGAAATAAGATAATAAAGCTATATACGGAAAAAAGTCAAAACAATCTTAGAGTATCTATTTACCTCATGTTTTCCGCCAGACCAGTCCCCAAGATTTTCCATTTCCTAACGTAAACAATTCAATAAGACATTGGTGTTAATAAACCCAATTAAAGGCAACTGGACGATAATTAATGAAGAGAGGACAGTGGGAATTTTTCAAGTGAGATTATTCAAAACGTAGCCGATACAGTAAGTTTAAACAAATTAATTTCAGTTCAAGCTATTCAACTTCAAGTTCATTTTACCTCAACAAGATGCTTGGCAAAAGTTTCTGTTACAATGGGAAACCAAAACACATCTGGGCATGGCTGAAAAAAGACCACAACAATAACAAAAACAACTGTTTAAGTTTCTTCACTGACATTCACGGAGGCGCCCAACATTTCCCTTAGGTTCAAATATAACGGGGAGTTTAAGTAACGACAGCGGCGACGGCGAGTCAGAGATGGCAACGAAAACGGTAGAAAGTAAGGTTTAGAATAGTAAAACAACAACTTTGTATATGCATCACGCTTTTTCTACATTTTTTTGAGGTTGTTGCACGACTACGAAGTGAAACTTCAACAACATTTGACAAAGTGAATGAAATGGAAAAAGGGCGATGAAGATTGAAATGCACTTTTTAAGTCGCCATTGTGATTGCTCTAACTCTGTAATAACAAAATGAGTACATGTACACATTATTGTTCACAAAAAAGTATGGTAGTTTTCTATCTTACCTGTTCAAATTGATAACTAAGATTGAAGTTCTGTGAGTAGTTCTCATGAATGTACTTTTCCTCCCAATCCTAAAAAAGAATAAAAGAAATATGCCACCACATGTTTGTGGACTTTAACTATTGTACAATTTTAAAAATAATAAGCGAAAGACCTTACCTTTTTGTTGTCAAAAATCTCCCACAAATCATTGTGCAGCATGTTTGTCCTGTAGTTGTCAGTCTCCAGCAAACGTCCAAACTCATTAAGATTGGTGGCATACATAAAAATACCCTGCAGTTTGATAACAGTTTGTCATTTGGTTTGATTCCAAAAGATTGTATAGGGGACACAGTGTAATCTTATTCGAAATTAAAAAAGAAGAATGAGGGTAATATTCAAGCTTAAAATAAATTTCACGTCATGAATAGTGACGAGACTGTGCTCTAAGAAAAATTGAAGGCTAGCGCGGTGCTCTGAACCTGGAAATCCAGGGTGCCCAGCATATGATTTCTATGGAAAGACTTAGATTTATTCCTATTTATATTCACCACTAAGAGACGGGAATGGGTGTGCAGCTCGAACTGTGGAGCCTGAATGTTTAATGCCGTCCAAATAACATACAAAGTTCAACATCATAACTAAAGAATGGTATACAAATATTCCTAAATAAAGTCACTCAGGCTAAACTATTAACATGTGGTGCCTGAAACGAAAATGCAAAAACCCAATGGGAAAAAATTGGGAACGTATTCACCAACCGATGCAGGAGGTATCTGCAGCACTTAATGACGTGAAAAAAAAAAGAAAATTTAAACAATGATGTTTGCTAAATAAATGAATCTCTGTTCACTATCAGAAGTAGCCAGTGTAGCTGGCAGGATCAGTGGGTGAGTGCTGTAGATTTTCTCCCTTGCCGAGCCACACTGCCGCAAAGAAAGCACCTTTGGCACAACAATCCCACCATGTCACAGGCTATTTCAGAAAAGGCAGGTCACTGCTCACCTTCTCCCTCAAGTTCTTGCACATTGTCATGTCCGGATCAAACTGATCTCCAGTAAAAATTCCTTTCATCTCACTCACGACTTGTTTCTGGATCAAATAGGTGGCTGAAATGTGTGGCACATTCCACACACCCCTACAATGACATTGAAGTACAGTCAACTGGAGTCTAGAGATGTCCATCTTATAGAGTAAAATGTAATAAATGAAGAAATGTAAGAACAAACTCATCTAGGTGTTGATCTTATATATTCTAAAGGTGTCTGTTGAGTTAGAGAAAAGTGCACCTGGTTCAATACCTTCTTGAAAAACAGTCCTGCTAATGGTATTAATGAGACTTAATTGCAGGGGCCTTGAAAACTATTACAAATATGACATGCTGACCAACCGTGACTTTAATTTCCTACATACTTTCTCTGGTTCTGCACAATTGCAATGTAATCCCGAGAACGAGCATAATATCCATCACTGCCTATTGCACCCCAGAAATTTGACCACATCTTGCCATCCTTGGTCATAATGGGTGCCAGAATTGGTCTGCGAAAAAAATACAGGTACATGTAGCATAGTTAACACTCGTGGCAATTTCCACCTTTCAATTTCCAGTGCAGGCCACAAGATCCCTACTTTCCTTAGTTCTACAATTTTCTGAGGTGTGGAAGTATGGAGGATCCCTACTTTAACTTTTCACCCCAAGTTCTACACTTCTCCGTGGTGTGGAAGTGTGGACATGTGGAATTGTCGGACAAAATGAGGATGTTGTCACATTTTCCCCCAGTCTTTTGAACAACTGAGGCCAGGGGCCAGTAAATAGAATAAAACCTATTTCTGTAGCTTATTCTTAAGTGTGTATGGCTAACACTGTCTTTATCACCCAAATGTGGCAGCCCGTTTCCTACACCCTGTTAAACAAACAAAAAATGCACCTGGCGATAACAGCTAAAATTCAACAGCACATGAATAGCTTACCTATTTTGCTCAATAAGAATTTTAAGTGTGTCCTTATTGGTGAGAACAACAGATCCATCAACAGAGAAAAGATAGTCACATTTCTTCGTCTGGCACATCTCACTAGTCAGAGAAAAACAAAATAAATACAAAAAATACAAAATAGAAATACAAAATAAAAAATATTATACAACACTGAAAAAAAAAGAAAACAAAAAAAGGCCTGTGTGTCAAGTACATGTAAATATTCAGTGAATTCTTGGGTAGGTGCATGCTGCTAGCACTCTTAAGAAATAAAATCCAATACTGCACTATTATGTTCATATTTATTTTGTGGGTTTTTGTAAACTTGGCAACAAACCCAATTTATTTTTTCAAGATGCTATTTAACACCTCTTAACTAGTAAATGATACCCTATTCAAAACCAGGAACTATATCTCATTTGCATACCCTAGATATCCCAGTCTTAACTGTTTGGAATGTTATAGTTTGCATATATTATTTTACAACAGTATGCAAAAGTGAAACTTCAGAAGAGGTTTGCAAACAAGAAATATCATCATTATTACCGCATGTTATTTGCAATAAAGTGTTCAAAGATATCATATCCAGGCATGGGGTAGGTAATTGATAGATTTTAAAACTTCTGGTCCCTCAGTACTAGAGACAAAAACCTTGTAACTAACCAGAGATGATTAACTTACACAGCAAGATTTCTAGCTTCATCTTCTTGTACGTTATCTTCTGGCTGAAGAACAGTGACAGAATTAAACTGATTCCTGACCTCATCTGTTAACCATTCAGTGATTTGTGACTTGTGATAGGCAACCTGAAAGGGCGACAAACAAATTACATATACTTATTATTATTGTCATAACTACTATGTGACAGAGAGAAGCACTTAATAACTGTCCTGTACTAATGTATGTTGCATGTTTTGTCAACCTGGCCATAGAGAACTTTTTCAAAAAAAAAAATCACTGATTCAGTATCTTGTAAGACTGTCTGTGTTACTACATCATGACTTACAAGTATATCAGTGTATAAACATGATCATCACACCAATACATCTTTGCATCACACAAACTATAATTTTTATACTGTGTGCTAAATATGACACAAAACTGACCATACTTCTGTCAATTTAAAGTAAAGGACAAAACGTGCTTGGCAGAAGTGAATTCAAAGTAACATAAATAGTCATTGATCTTAAATCTCTATTTATTGCAATAACGACGTGAAAGCAAGACATACCGTGTTGTGGATCAGGAGATCTATGTGCTTTTTTGGATAATTTTGAAGCATCATTCTTCTTAGAAACTCTGGAATAAATGGTGTTGGTTTCTCAATGAAGAAGCCCATCAAAATCTTGGGGTATTCCTAGGGAACAAATACAGTTAAGTTAGATATTTATTACAGGGTTAAAGAATGATAATTATTACTCATTCAAAATATTTCCCCGTTTCTGATTGGGTAAAACCCCACACACACAATTCACCATAACCAGCGGCTGAACTGTCATATTGAACCGATGACGTCAAAATGACTGAAACAGAGCATTGTTTAATAGCTCATCTAATGGGAACATGTCTCAGAAAATGTTCACTGAATAGGTTTCATTTAATAATGAAACATACCTTGATGTTATCTAACGAGATTGTTGCCTTGTCACAAACTGTGCATCCATCTTCCATGTTCCACTTATTAGGAAGATAATTTCCCAAGTAATTTAAAAACAGCTAGAAGAAAAAAAATAACAAATGATAGTGTCAGCCTATTAAGTCGTAAAACCTATATTAATGGAAGAGACCCTATGGTGTAAAAATGTAAAGATGATAACTCATTGGCAGAACTTTCACATGGTACTATTTCTTTGATTATTCAGATTTCTCCAGTTCAAAATTACAGATGATGGATTTCCTTTTTATTCAACTTTTTGACAGAGTTGTACAAATTAAAATATTATTTTAATGATCCCCTTTCTGGCCTTTGCAAAGAACTGTTTTCGAAGCCCTTACCAAGGGAAGGATGATAGTACACCAAATTTTTGCAATGACAGACCAGGTCTCTACATAGCAGTTACAAAACACAGGTCGCAGGTCACAAGTGCAGGTCACCGCTCTGTTTATAAATAACTGAGATACGCCGTTTTCCCTTAGGCTGCTTAAAACTCTATTTTGGATTGGATTAGGGCTAGGAGACACTTTAACAGTGTTGTATGTTTACCCAGCACGGCGACCTGTACTCTAACCTTTACTTGTGACCTGTGACCTGAATTTTCCACCTGCCGGTCTCTACACACAAGTCAAATTACCGTAAAATTCTGAAAATAAGCCCCAGGGCTTATATTTTTCAAAGGCCCTTTTTGAGGGGCTTATTTTTGGAGGGGCTTATATTCAGAGGGGCTTATCTACGGAGGGAGATTTGCATTTCAAACTCTATTGGGTTAGCCTTGTAGTTAGAAGACCATTTTGGCTTTGTTTTACTTTGTATTTGAGGACAAGTACAAGCCCTTGGGGGGCTTATATTTGGAGGGGCGATTTTACGGAGGTTTTTTTGCGTTACCGGTTTGGGGGGCTTATATTTGGAGGGGCTTATTTTCAGAATTTTACGGTATTTAAATAAAGGAAATCAACATCAAGATTCCTTGCCACATACTCAAACCAGTCGAATCATTACAGTTTTCACGAGCTCTTCTGTCAATATTTTACAAGGATAAGAAGATGGAAAATTATATCGGTAATTTGTATTTTTATTAGTACATACCTTGCTTGGGCCATTCCCATGAGCCACTAGAGGTTGGGTGTTATATTCACTGTTTACAAGCCACGCCTTGTTCTCATCAAACTTGATTTCTACTTCATCTGCAAAGTATGGATTCAGAGGATTACATTGAAGGGAAGTTTGAAAACCTTAACGTCTGGTATAAAATTACAGTTATTAATGGCTACCTTGGGGACAAGAAAATCATTTTTATAGAGCCATTTTTAAACTAAAGTCAATTTATGAATGTATGAAGACATCATTTCAATTAGCCGTTAAAAGCTTTTTGATGAGCAGAATTGATTTCACACTTCTTGTTATTTTTCAGGAGGGGGTGCACTTGCCCGTCTCTTGTTCTACTTCAACACCAAAAATCCACTTGCCCCGGCATCGGTCACTTTTTTTTTTTAGGGACAGAAAAAGTGGTCATTGTTGAGAGGTTTAAATAAGAGTCAATTTATGAATGTATGAAAAGAGTAGCTGTTGTAATGAGGTGCCATTGTGGAGAGGAGGCCGTTAGTGGCCCTTGGTAGAGGTTCCACTGTATTACATGTATCAGCAATTTCAACATATTAAATATTTATTGGCTTTATACCTTCAGCTCCATTTAAGTTCATGAAGATCTCTGCTTTTGTGTCCAGCTTTAGTTTTAGATCATCCTAAAAAAAGATAGACCACCATGATTACCTCCATTATACTTCATATCATGAACAGTGCAAGTCAGAGATGAGCGAACTAAAGTATTTACATATAATGCATCCCAAAAGATGAGTTCATGCATCTGGACAGACAAATAAAATGCATCTGAGCTGAAACACACAGATTACGCATCTGCTCCAAAATGGGTCAGCTCACATTAGAGTCCTTAGTATGTATGGTACTTTCTTGTCTTGAATGGCCTGAAACTGTTATTTGGAGGAAAATTTACAGTATTATTTGTACCAGAAAATATGACCTTATCAGTAAATGCATGGAAAAAATCTTTTTGCTTTGGCAAAATGTGGCAAACTTTTCGTCTTAAATCCCTCTGGTTATCTCTATTTTTTCGCAGTAAATGTATACTCTCCAAAATGTTTTTAGTTGTTCATTACACAGTGTGGTACAAATAAAGATAATATCTTTAAAAATCTGGAAATTTTACTCTTTGGTTATCACTTCATTTACTCTCACACTCCACATACTGTAACTTCTTTTTATTGAACGTTGATGTTACAAAGTGAAATGAGGTGATTTTGACTTAGGGTAAGCAATAAAAGCTAAA